GCGCGGCTGTACATGCTGGTCGAGTCGAGAGCCCCGCACTTAGGACATGTTACAAGGAGTACAAAAAGCGGGGGCCAACAGCCTCGTACAAGCCGTCACTCTCTCTCTATCTCTTTCACTCTCGAGTTCTCGTCGTCGTCGTCGTGCGCCAATGAGGAAACACCCGCGGCCGGAAATTATAACCTATCCGGAGGAGGACGGAGGCGCCGCCATCGTCTTCTTCGCGCACTAAACAACGCACGCACCGACTCCGATCCTATATATGTATTATGTAGTTGTACACATGCTCACACCCCAACATGCACTGTACATCTATTCGCATTTTATTATACATACATGCACGCTACACCTCTATATATGTGCTGTATCGGTATATCGTACGTGCGGCTCGGCCGTATAGACTTGGCGTATTGTACACCGCCTCATGCCTGCACTATGCATCGTTCACTCGATCGCGTATTTATACGGGATGGATTGCAGCGACTAACACGCGCTTGGGTGTGTGTGTGCGTGCGTGCGTGGATGCAACAGAGTGTTCTCTCGCGAAACTTAACCTCAAAGTGCGCTTTTCTTTTTTGCAACACACGAGCGCATTCGCACATGCATGCATCATACACCACGACTGCAGTCCAGCAGCGGATCGCCAGTCGCCACGCATATTATACATTAGCTTCTATGATAATTCGCCGATTAGTGGGATCTGTAGGCAGAGGAATTTTATGCTCGTCGATCGGATATACCGATCGTAGTTTTTCGGGAAAATCGGTTAACCAAAAGAGTCAAGATAGATTTTTCTCTCATTACCTTTAGCCGCTGGCTGCTGTGGCTCCTTGTATCACCGATGGGTTGCTGGATCCTTTTCCTCTCCGATGCAACCGTATGCACTTTGGGACTCGAGATCGGCAAAAGTTCCTGCCTCTATATACAACTCTGTCGATGGCTCGACCGACTGTTGCGCTTCTCTCACTCACTCACTGTACTCTCTCTCTCTCTCTCTCTCTCTCTTCTTCCTGTGTGTATGGCCGTCGACGGGGCTTTCTTTCTTTCTCTCTCTCTTGCTCGCTCGCTCCGTCTCACTCTCTGCTGCAGCGCTGCGATCCACGGCACTTGCAGCGCAAAACGCACACTCACTGGGGAATATATCGCTCTCTCGATATATATAATATACGATGCAGAGCGCGGAGAATATACCGACGATATCCGTATGCGTACGTGTGTATGTATTTGTTGCCTCGTTAATTTTTACATATACGTGCAGGCATATGTAAATATATCTGTTGCTGCATATACGGAGTCGTCGTCGTCGTCGTCGTCGTCTCGATAGAAATGTGTGTGGGATATGTAGTCGGAATCGTCGTGCGTGTCGTCGACTTATTACCGAACAAAATCACAACGCGGCTGCCGAGTGTCTCGAAACTTTCTGCATACGGCGGCACTTTTGCACACACATTCGCGGCACGGTATCACCACTACTGCCGCACATGCACTTGCTACACACTTGGTGCGGACTATGATGATAGTGATATCGATATTATTATTATTTGTTGCTTCTACTGTATGGTCGGCCCTGAGCGCTAATGCTCGTTTCTACACTGTATATATGCAGCAGAGGCGGCGGGCGATCGTCGACGTCGACGTCGATGTCGTCTGAAACAACGACGAGTAGCTAATTCCCTCTTTCTCTCTCTCTCTCTCTCTCTCTCTCTCTTTTGCTTTGAGAGCGCGCGCATACACACACGCACACACAAACTTAGACGACGCACACACGGAGACAGGAGCGATAACGTCCGCTAATATACTCACTTATACACACTGCAGGGATGCGCGATGAGCGAGAAAGAGCTAGGACCGGGAGAGGGGCGGCGCGCGATCGCGAAACACACACAGAGGCAGAGAAACAGATAGAGAGACGGACGCACGGCACGACTTGTATACTTTGCTGAATATATATTTTATAACGATATAACGATTTATTACAAATACGTACGCGCGAATCGAGATGGTCTGTTGTATTTTTTTTAGCGCGAGCGAAAGCTGAAAAATGTTCGATTTTACGGGCGCTATTATAAATGTATGCGTGCGATCGACTGTGCAGGGACGGATGCAACTGCTCGACGCCGCGCGATCAGCAACGGCGCGCACACACACAGACACACGCGATATTATTATACTATAGTATGCGGCCACCGCTGACTGCAGTATATACTCTCACACATACATGCTATATAATGCCGAACGCCCAGTCCCTCTCTTTATATATAGTATGTGTATTATGCGTGCGTATATTCGCGCGCGCGAGAGCGAGAAAGAGAGAGAGAGAGCAAGAGAGCGAGGAACGGAGCGAAAAAGAGACGATAGAGCGTGTTATAAAAAAACATATATACGTATATATTGGGAGTCTGCAACGGTTGTGTATACAGATATATACGGTGACGCTGCACACACAGACCTCGCGCGCTCAACGCACTCCGATGAACAGAGAGAAAGAGAGGGACCCTATCGCCTCCTCCTTCTCTATCTCGCTTTACTTTCGCATATGCCTTATACACTCCTTCGCCGATACACATGCACACGCGATCTTATGTTACTTTTTATGTGTATGTGTGAGTAAGCGAGTGCGTTAGACGACGACGACGACGACGGGAGCGACGAACGAGTTCGAACATGATGTGTGCATGTGTGTGTGGGTTGCGCCGCGCGGCGTTCCCTCAACGATTCGCGATTCGAGGGAATGACGTCACTGGTATACGTGAAGCTCCACTCACAACCTCGTGGTTTCTTCGCATGCTATGCATTCATGCCAAACCGTCTTTCCATAAATCTGCACGTAAAGCTCGATCGGCTTCGAGGGCGAGTCTATTAGATCGGTTCATAGATCACGAGTTCGAGTTTCGCAAGGCCAACCTTTGCTCCAAAATACTGCTCCGCTGCGCTTCGTACGTAATTTGCTTTAGATACCAACTCCGTTTTATAATGTAAATTTTGGACGTTCACAATGTTCCATTATGCGCGAGAGAGAAGTGCACGACAGGCACACCTAATGGCAAACTGCATCCGATTGGGCAAACATGGCGCTGCGTTCGGCGCGAAAATTCGTGCGACTCCGATTTTCGAATCGAAATTTTTGAAAGTATCTATAACGGTCGCACGCATGTGTGACACTCGCGCCTCAAAACAAAACAATAACAATGGAACGTACGTACGCGCTCTATTTTTACAAATATATCAATCGAACGTCGCTTAAATAAAAAGGCGCAGTCCCGAAGTCGACGACCGAAGAAGACTACAAAACAAGAGAATATAATATGAAAACATATACAGCATGTGACTGCGCGTCTGAAAAAAATCTTTCTCGCGTTGTTATGATACACACACGCACGCACGTACACAACGCATTGTGTGACAAAGAAAAAAAAGAACGGCGACAACTGCAGCTACGGAGCTACATAAGCGCTACGCCAGGCCATTATATCCTCTTGCGACGAGCTGTTTCTTATGTATAAATGCACGCAGCACCGAGTCTGCCGTTTATCTGTAATATTACAATAATACATGCATGCAGTGCCTATGTGCATACGATGGTCGATAGCAATGCGCGCGATGTTTCCCTTCAAACGCATTATAATATAGGACCACGATGAAGAGACTCGGACATAGAGAGAGAAAGTTGGTGCGCGCAGGTCCTACAATGCCACTGTTGACCCGATATATTGTTGTGCGCCCGAATGAAAGACCCGTGTCTGACAACCGGCTTGATCCGGACAAATACGCGCACACAGACTCATGTATACACACACACACACACACACACACACACACACAAACACGTAACACGCATCGTCCGTCTTCTTCTCTCTTTTCGCTCTCACTTGCTGTTACTGCTCTCTCCGTTAGCTTCGTTTAGCTCTCGCTCTACTAATTAAAAACGCATTTAATATCGCTCAGCTTCACAATTTATATTAGCTGGCTTGACCGACGCTGCTGCGTAACTTGCAGCTATTGATGCTGTGAGAAAACTTGGCTGCAGTTAAGTTCGAAAAAAACTGCGATACCGCAGGATTATACCAGTAATTTCAAGATATTATTCAGAATATTCGTTCGATTCGATCAATCTGTAATCAACTTGTAGTATCTTATAAATTGTATGAAAAATTCGAATGCCGGTAACGTTATAAGCATGAAAAGGCTTCGCAGGTCAAATTCACCCTAATTCCTGGAAGGCTCGAACTGAATGCACGTTTAAGGTTGTTATTTTCATTTAGATCAGGTGTCAGCGAACTGTTGGCGTTTCTTTAATTTGTATGTTGTTGCGTACAATGTAGCATAAGGACGTTGCGTGGTCGAAGAAAAATACTGCTACGGCGACAGCGGGCGCTTCGACAAAAAACAAACACCAATCGCGGCAGCATTTCGAACGCCAAGTGTCAACGTACTCGTGCGAGACGTTTTGGAGTGATCAGCACAACGTATGCATGAATATACGTACTGTTGTTTCTCGACCGACGAATGTTTTAGAGAGAGAGATAGCAGAGGGTTTTCTTCGATTGTATACACAAATCAAAACTACTTTCGCGTAATATGTAATTTCGTTTCGACGGATACAGCTACACTTAAATACAAAAACGTCGAGGATACTGCACGCCTCGTTCTGTACGTTACGACGCGAAATTCAAAACTAATGAAGTTAGCTGCCTATGTCGATCGGCCGATACGTTACGCGTATGCCTTATTACGAATTCAATTTCGAGGGAAATTTCGAATAGCTTACCAAACGCTTGTAATGAAGATTCGAAAAAACTCGTTACAAATAGGTATTACACATATCCTATGTGTGATATAGCTATAACTATATAGAGTGTAGAGTCGAGCGAGCCTTCGCGCGACGTTTTCACTCTTTCTGCTTGGGCTGTGTGTCAGGTATATGGCATGCACTCCCACTCCGCGGACCTCTGGCTCTAGCGTCCTATGGATACGGCACGGCACAGCACAGGCCTCCACCTTCCACCGCGAACCGACGTAGCTTTTGCCGCGTACGATCCGCAACCATATAGTATATAGTTTGTACACATTGCAGCGTCGTGCGTTATATTACGGAAGGAGTGTGTGTATTATATTAGTATATGGACGTCGTCTCGAAACTGGGCGGCGGTCGCGTTGCGCGCCTGAGACTACGTGCGTGAATCAATTGATCGAGATCGCCATGCCGCTGCTCCTTTTTTACTGAAGCGAAAGATCGCGTGTGACTCGAGTCTCGCCGTTCGTGAGTGTGCGCGTGTGTTGGTGCGCTTATCGTCTTTTCATTGATCAAAGTTTAAGAAGGACGAGTGATAACCGATAATACAGAGAGAATAGTATACAGACATAAACAAAGCAACCGCACGCCGCGATCATCATGAATCGGTGCCTGCTAATCGCCGCGGCGGCGGTCTACCTGTTGGGCGTAGTCACTATAACCGGCGTCGTCGAGGCTGCCACCGACTACAGCAAATACACCGACGAGCAGATACAGCCTGACTGGTACTCTCGCGATGCCTTCGATGAGATCCGAGCGAAAATGGACAAAGTCACCGCGGACAATTGCGCGATACAGCACCTCGACGATCTGTACCTGCCCGAGGACGCCGTGTCGCATCTGCCTGACATCAAGGAGTTCAACATCAATCCGATCTTTCCCAATAGGACCGCCTTGCTGCATCTTCATAACATGGCCCTCACCAGGAGTTTTTACTGGAGTTACATACTGCAGTCGAGAAATTACAAACCACCCATCAATGATACCTATGATCCTGGCATGATGTATTATTTCTTGTCCACTGTGGCTGATGTCTCTGCCAATCCCTACATCAATGCCTCTGCTGTTTACTTTGCCCCCAATATGAGTTTTTCATCATCTTACAGAGGATTCTTCAATAAAACATTGCCTAGATTTGCACCTAGGACTTTTAGGCTCGATGATTTCAATGATCCTGTGCATCTAGAGAGAATATCTACAAGAAATACATTTTCAGTATCTGATCTGGGTGCTTTCCCATCCAGTCAGTTGAGTAAGGATTATACAACCGACTATTACAGAATTAATGAATGGTTAGTATTAATGAAAAGCTCTTTTAATTTTAATTTCAAGTCCACCAATGCAATATGATAATAATTTCATTTTTTATAGGTACAAAAAGTGGTTACCAGATAACGTTGAAAGGCATGATACTAAAATAACGTATCAAGTAGAAATTAGATATGCAAACAATACCAATATAACACACACATTCCATGGGCCACGAGGTAATTCTTCTTTCTCACACTATTGTCACACGGAGTAAAATTAAGAAAAATCTAGAGAAAAAATGAGAATTTTAAATTGAACTTGTATTTCAGGTGCTCATGAGGAGGGTGGGCCAGTAAAGTGGATAAGACCCTACTTTGATTGTGGACGTTCAAACCGTTGGCTTTTCGCAGCTGTTGTGCCAATAGTAGACTTGTACCCTCGTTATACAGGATTCAGGCACATTGAAATACCCAGGTGAGAGATTTTTCCTAAGGGAAAGCATTGATGCAACTGGATGCAACTCTTATTCTCTCAGTGCACCCCTTGTACTGCTACATAATCTCGATATTTCAAAAAAAAAAGTTGCATTGTCGAATGCACATATACTTGTGAAGCATGCAGATAGATGCAAGGGGACGATTGCCCACTCATTAAGTATTATAATTTATTCGGATCCCCTTTGAGACCATCCTAGAGGGTGTGGGGTCTATCTGTACCGGTCAAGCAGGAATGTCCTTTCATACTGCTCACACGTGTGAAATACTACGGAACGATAGGATTAAAACACTTAAAGGATTAAGGAGGGCCTGTAGTCAAATTTCAAAAATCCATGCTTTTTAGAGCTTCCCTATAAAAAAAATTTATAGAGTATCTTTCTCATTCTTGCTGGTTGTAAAATGGCGTTTTGCATTTTTTTGCGGTCACCTTAAATAAATACTTAAAAAATGAACGCATTTATTATAAACAGGACCATAGAGTTGATATTATTTTTAGCAAGCACTTAAATTCAGAAGAAAGAAAGAAAGAACAATACCGGTAGTAACATGTAATAGCGTCGAGCTAGTGATTTTTATTTGCGATAAGAATGATGACGGACCATGAGGATCTTTTCATTATGAGAAAAGATTTCTCTTCAAAAATGTATATTAACACAACCCTAACTCATAACACAATAATTTTAATATTTGTACAGATATACGGCCGTATCAGTAATCGAAATGGACTTTGATCGTATTGATATTAATCAGTGTCCTAAAGGCGAAGGTAATAGAGGACCTAATCGATTTGCAAATACAGCCAGATGCAAAGTTCAAACAACCGAGGTAAATTATACAGTTCAATCTATAATTAATTGAAGCTAATTGAGAAATTCATTTCATTTGCTATTCCAGTGCGAGCCGTTGCATGGATGGGGATTCCGACGTGGTGGTTACATGTGTAGGTGTAAGCCTGGATGGCGATTGCCGTTCGTTGTCCGGCGACCTTACCTTGGTGAGATTATCGAAAGAGCCTCGCACGAGCAGTATTACAACGGATTCGAATGTTCCAAAATCGGCTGTAAGTTATAAAAATTGTTCATTCTCATTTCAACATAACTAGCGCATCGATGGTTACAATTTTTTTTAATGTACAGGGATTCAAAAGAGACCCGCTGAATTGAACGAGCCCTCACCTTATATGAGACAAAAGTATCTCGAACAATACTACGAGTACCAGAATTATTCCACAGGACCAGCATCACTTCACGATTCCAAGATAAATATCGATCAAGTACTGAAATTCATCAACCACGTTCACAAAGATAACTGTCATAAGTGAGTTGACGAATGCAATCACGTGCAATTTGATTTATACGTTGCGAGGGATTTTTCGAAAAAATAAGATACTAATTTTTTTCCAATGCAGGTACACACCGGAGCAGTTGAAATTATCTGGAAACATTGCCTTCGGCGTCGAGGAGTTTTACGAGAACGAAGCGAAAATGGCAGCTCGTCTCGCCAACTTCATCAGCTCGTTCCTGCAGGTATCCGATCCTGAGGAGGTTTATTCGGGCAAGCGCATCGCCGATAAGCCATTGAACGAAGATCAGATGATAGCCGAGGTCGTTGCGTTGGCGTTCGGTAACGCGAGAATCTGGTCAGCCGGTGTTTACTGGGATCGTAACAAGTTCACGAATCGTACCTACTTCGCTCCCTATGCTTACAAGGAAGAAAGAAATGCATTGAAATTGAAGGTGGAGGATCTCGCTAGGCTTAATACCACCGGTAAGGGTTTATTATAGTATACAGGCTGAAACTTTTTAACTAGGTTGACTAGCTTCTCGCTAGCGCTACTAAGCAAGAGGCATTCATAATATATATAGTTATACACACACATATGCTGTTTACGTTTAGTAAAAGAAAAATGTCAGGAAAGAGTAAGAGAGACAGATAGAAAGAGCTCGCGCGCAGGCCTGGAATACGAGAAGGGTGGACGAAGACGGACACTCTGAATATTCATGTTTTTTGTCGTGTTTATTTTTCGTTTATCTAATTCAATCTTGCATCATCGACAACATCTTAATTACTTTCTAGACTAACCCCTGGCATTTCAATACTCGAAAAATGTTATATAAATCCATTATCCATAGATGATGAAACATTATCGTTATGGAATCGGCCAAAATTCAATTAACCTTTTTTTATTTCAGAGGAACTTTACACGAAAAATGAATGGTTCCAAATTTTGAAGAAAAGATGGGCAGCCAATTACGATCATCTTGAAAAATATTTCCTCAAAATGATGGTGCGTTACAACGAGACCGGTGAATCACTGAAAAAATATGAGCACTATCCAACGTTCTACAGGTACATGTGTTACAATAAAGAAATAATTCCTCAGATCAAAGTTCTGTTTAAAAAGTCCGTAACGACGTGGATGGTGACTACTACTACGATCTAGCTCGAAAAGCTTCAATCCACGTTGGTGTGTTTACGGCTCTTTAATAAATTTTTTGTCCCGAAATAAAAACATTGGCTTCGGCATCGTATGTTGGAGCAGCCGTGAATCCACCTCCCTTTTTTTACTATAAAAATAAGAAGAAGAGAATCTGTGTCTGTTGGGAGATCGGCTGAAAACTTTCCCACATAACTCTCTGAAAATATACATGTGTACGTGTGTTCGTGTGTGGTATATGCGGACTCGTGTGCGTGCGGCTACATACGCACATGCACCAATGTTACACAGAGAAAGAGAGATACAGGAGAAAGATTCAGCAGGACCGCAGAGGCGTCAACGACGAAAGAGAACGAGAGAGAGCGAGAGAAAGAAAAACATCCTATGTACGGTATGCACGTATTCGCGGGGGGCTAGCTATCTCTCTCTTTCTACGTGTAATTTATTTTAATGCGCTTGCGGATAGGGCGTCCTCGGTAGTCGGTAGTAGTCGCCGTCATCCTCGTCGACGCCATATTCCTCCTAAGGTGTATCATCCGTGTGTGTGCGCGCGTTATAACTATCTTGCTTACTCTTGTATATGTGTGTTACAGAGCGGCAAACCTGAATGACGGCTACTGGACCGTCCCTTACTTCGATTGTAACGGCAAAGTGAAGAAATGGTTAATTACCTATGCATCCCCCTTTTTCGGCTGGGACAACATCAAAGACAAACTGGAATTCAAGTGAGTATACGCAGGTACATACGCAGCATGTGTATGTGTTCTCCTCTCTTTCTGTCTGTCCGTGTGTATGCTTATGTGTATACATTTTTGTGACGGCGGCGGCGAGTGTGAGATAGTTGGAGCGAGGAACCTGTTTCTCGTTTCTTCATCTCCTACGTCTGAAAAGGGGGATGAGACGACGATGACCATAGAGAGACAGAAAGATGCTCGGGCTACAGCTATCCCCCGCTTGTCTCGCTCGCCCCGATGATGATCAAAGCTCTCTCTCTCTCTCTCTCTCTCTTTGCTACCACCGTTAGTGTTCCTGCATGTATACATCTCGTATAGCAGCAGCAGCAGCAGCAGCAGTGGTAGCAAAGAGCAACAGAGAGAGAAAGAGAGAAAAAGAGAAGAAGATCATATTTAACATTAAGACACTTACAGGGGTGTCGTGAGCGTGACCATGGACTTGCTACAGCTGGATATCAACCAGTGCGACGATAAATTCAATGTTCCCAACGCGTTCATGGGGACACACAAGTGCGACAAAAAATCTTCATACGTAAGTATAGGCTTCCTTCCTATCTTCTTCCTTTTTCTATATTCTCCCTCTCTTCTTCGTTTATTCAATCGTTTTTTTATCTATCTCTCTTATTACGTTTTACTGTCGTTGCTGGGGGTATACTTGCTATAGAGACCATCGTGTACTGCCTCGTACACATCCCGAATGTATGCAGGTATACGTGTATGTACGAACGGCCTCTTCTGCCTACCTATAATTCCTAATTGTACGCCAAAGTGCGACGCGCGTAATTAATGGCACTAGCGAAAGAGACAGAAAGAAAGTTAGCAAGAGATGAGGTAGGTGAAATGTGGGAAATAATAATGGAGACTTTCAGCAATGGCATTAATCGTACATATACACTTGAGAGAGGGAGAAAAAAAGAGCGTGAAGGAGAGGTAGCTGGAATGATTTTAGCTTTATTCATTCAAGTATACTTTTGTTCTTTCTCATATGATTTTTTTGTTTTAATATCTTGACAACGACGACGCTGCCTTTTCTGCTGATGCTGCTACTGCTGCTGCTTAAATTATAGTGCGTACCGATATTGGGACGTGGCTTCGATAGTGGTGGCTACAAGTGCGAATGCAAACAGGGATACGAGTACCCACTGGAGGATCTGATAACGTATTACGACGGACAACTGGTCGAGGCTGAGTTCAACAATGTCATTTCTGGCAATCAGACGAGGTGAGAAAGCGAGAGAGAAGTGTGAGAGAGAACTTGTGTATAGGCACAATGAACCGGAGGGTGGCGTTTTCTTCTTCTTCTTCTTCTTATACTTCTTATTTTCGCTCAAGTGTCTTTGCAGATGAGGACGTTATTATGTCAGGCGACGCTTATTTTCAAAAATGTTACATCTCGATGATTAATGGCATGGAACGTCCGTGCCCGCCAATACTTCAAGAGCACGTGTATTTTTCTGGGAATATCAACGCGTTGCTTTCGTTAGCTCGAGTATATTTATTTTGGTCAACCGGTAGAAATCGTTTAGCATAATTTTTATTATCAGACCCTCTTGCCGATGGTTCCGAGTGAACATCTGAAAGTAATTTATCATCGGTTTTTGTTCATCATGACGTTTCAGAGCTTACGTTACAATCACAGGCGATATGTATGAGTGACGATTTAACCATCTAGCAGAATCAGTTGAATCTTAAATTTCTCGAAAAATCCACGAAACAAACAAAATTCAGCAAGGGGGTAAGAAACGAAGGCGCGCAACCTATAGTTTTGAGAATATTGCGTACAATATATTATTTGCAGCATAAAAAACATTTACACAATTGAATTCATAACTTTTGAGTTCGCGCGAAATTTTTAAAAGTCCCTAATTATGTACGCGAAAGATATTTCTCTGAACCCTTCAAGGTGCATCTTCTATATAGATACAACTCGTATATGTTAATTTGGGCATCAGAAAAGGGTAAAAGGTAGGGAGAAAGAAGAAGAAGAAGACACCGGGATCGCAGGGGACCATAAAGAGCTAGAGAAAGAGAGGAATACGAACTCTTGTCGGTATAGAGCGAAGCTGCGAATTTATTTATTCCGTTATATATTATATTAAGCAACGTGCGTGTCCATTCGTTTGATACCTCGTTTGTATGCGAGTGCAACCTTCGGACAATACATGCACTCGTTTCATGTTTGAAATAAATTTTTCCACCTAACTAACGTTTATTGACCTCTTTTGAAAATTAGAATCTTGGTCTTTCTCACGCGCGTTCGCTTGCAACTATTGCCCGCTTGTGCGTCCTAACGTGCATTATACACAATATATTTATGCGCGCTGAATCTATGTTTGCCGAAAAATAAAAAAATAATAAAACAGCTCGATGCAGTTTTACATAATGCGTGTGCGAGAGTAACTCGACTAACAGACGTTTTTCCGTTGCAGATATGACATCTACAAATGCCGTCTGGCCGGTGCAGCTTCTGTGCAGTTCAGCTGGGTATTGCTGTTATTAACGATGTCTTTGTTCTTCCCCTTCTATCGCAGATAGAGAAAAGAAAGAGAGTAAGCTTAAAGCGTGTCTTTGTATTTTTACGATGATACGACTTTAATTGGAAAGTTAGTTCGACCTTAGCCTTATGAGTGCGAGAATCCACGTAGTCATATCGCTACGAACTTATTGTAAACATTCATCGGTTATATTCTTCCTTGGAAGATATGAATCCGTCCACTTTGAATATATTTTATATAGTTTTAACGAAAAAAAATACCACATCATGTTTTGCAGTTGATAATAATGCGTGATATAAATTCTATCGACAAACGCCTTAGTGCTATGTAAAGAATCTCAGATAACGAACGATTTTATTGTGTTGAATGACAATAAGTATGTATTAATTTTTGTAGATACGTTGGTTTTCTATAAAATGTTAGGTGCCTTTACTGATTCCAAAGCGGTAATCGTTGCATATGATGTAAGATAATTTTAATTTACCGAAAGATTAGTATAATGCGATTATTGCAAACTTTGTGAACCAACTGCCTGAGAAAATGCCTGACTCTATTATTGTAGGTTTGCGTGTATTTTATAGTAATTTATAAAGACATTTATGAAGATTTCAAATCTACTTCAGAGTAAATTTTAGCTAAACGTAGATCAATTTATCGGTTTTCGTACAGTCGATCCGTCCATTATTATAACAACATGTACTCCGTCCAATGAAGTTCAAATTTTTCAAAGAAATATTTGTGCACACGTTATTTAATAAAAAATATAGTGTAAAATTATAAGTGCTTGCTCAATTTAATACGTTTTATATTTTTTCTTCAAAACCATGGATAAATAATTATTTTTAAATGGAGGACACGTAAGATATACCCATTTATGATTATATTTATATGCGAAAAAAGAAAGGAAGAATCTAAAAAAATGTTGCGTGAACTTGAACCCTTGTTTTATCAATACAATTGTGTACTACTCGGCCATCCGAACAATCGGGCGCGCGAGTATGGTGCACGCAGCCACGCAGGGGCCTTTTTGAGCCAATATGGGGTGTATAGGTACAGAGAGAATGAGAGTCCAGAAGCATCTTTCTCTCTTCATAACCCACCGACGGGCATTCACTAAGTTATAGGTAACAAAACGCTGAAAAGATTATTCTTACGACAGATTTTTTTGAATAACAATGATTGCGCGGAACGATCATATGTATAAATGTATCTATATGAGTGCGCATACATACAAACGCTTGCAGATGCGAGCATACGCATATAAAAGTTTTGTGTTAAAATTATAATACTTTCGAATGTGCTTATAAAAAAAATCGTTGACTACGATGTTTATTTGAAAAATAAATTATTCGACATTTGGTCGTGTTTCAAAATTGTTCATCAAGGCCGCTTATGAAATAACAGAATTGATTTCAGAGCGCGACATCTTGGTAGAGGGTTATAGTCAATCAATAGTCAATAAATCCAAAATCGAGGCAATCTCGCGATCGATTGCAGCATCATGGCTATATAGCTGGCGAAGATGTACGCGTGCACGTATGCAAAGTCTCGAGTCCAAAACTTCTCGGGCTCGGGGGGATTTTTTTTCACAGTGAGGCAGTGGGGTAAGGAAAAAAAGATGTAGCATAAATTGAGGAAGCCAAAGAAACAAGGGAGTACTTACTCGAAGTCGAGATGGAATCGTCGACGTCCGCAGTGGTGGTAGTAGAGGTGGTAGCGGCGGTCGTAGTCGTAGCGACAGCATCGACGACGTTCTCCAGAGGGTAATTATTGAAGAGCTCGGGGTCATCCTTCGATACCGTCGATAGGACCATAATTCCAGTGGCTTCTAAACTTTTTCTTTACCTGAGCTATACTATTCGCACACTAGAGAGATCGCGTCGCCTATGGAGCGTCGAGCGCTCGTACAGACTTATCTCGGAAACGATATTCTCCTTGCTCGCAAAATTGCAAATGAAGGTGCGCGAAGAGCAGCACGTGCTAATATGCCCGAGACGTGTAACACTGCCTGTATTATATTATGTATGTATGGAACGAAGTGCCGTGTGTCGTTGATGCAGGGCGACTGAAAACAATCGCGACTGATGACGATGTATATAGAGCCACGACGTATGCAACTGCGCGCCGGGGTGCAATGACGATCGCCGCATCGCATATTATGGGATCCGGTACCTGTATACACAATACACGAGCGCGGAGCCTCCCCTTTTTGTTCGGTGGCTTTCCGTACTTGCAATTGCACTTTTCTCGCATTATCGAAAACGACTGCAATAGCAGATGGCCAACGACGTTTCTCTGCGAAATTTCGATCGTTCTGTAATTATGTAGTCTTCAATAAAAGGATTATTTCACGTAAATCGGTATAATTTTTGAGCGATTTTGATTTATTTTAACGTATCCATAATATTGGAAAATTTATTTTTATTCATTTTTAGAATGTTGAAAGAAATTCTGTATTGGTACAGTTAATTTGAAGAGTTCATTCTTGGTTATAAACTTGAATAATTAGGAATGTTCAGGACATATGCGTTTTCGTAAAATTAATGATCTCAACTAATTTTTTAAAAAGGTCATTTAGAAAGTCATCACTATAACTCTTAATCATAGTTCTATATCTTTTTATTTAAATTTTATCATTAGGGTAAAGAATGATTATACGTTGAAAAATAAGTTGCACTCGTTTCATTTGTAAAACAAATATTTATTTGTTCATTTGGCATAAAGAAATATCAACCAATATAAGCAATTTACTTAACAGAAATCAAATCTTTGTTTTAAATATGCAACATATACCTATAAAAGTTCATTTCATTAGATTTCCTATTATAATTTATTTACAGATCACAATTTTAAAACAAATAATTTTTTTCATCTACTAACAGTCTTTAAAAGTACTAAGGTATCTTGAAAACTTGAACAATAGTACAAACAAGAAAGTTTCTACTGTATTTTAACTCATCTTCTGAGAGTCTTGTATGATTTTCAGTGTTTCTAGGCAGTTAACCGTGCATAGAATAAATGATATTTTTGATATTGCACTTTATTTTTGTTCGTCCTTCTTGGTCCAATAATTATATTCTAAAAATCTGTAGTACTGAGTTAATTGTGCACCTTCGTTTGTAAAGTGGCAGCCTAGTAACAGCAAGTTACGTGGTTGAACCTTCCATGCGAATCTCATGAAACACAGTGAATATAGGCACAGAGCTGCAATAAATAAGTTACACATATTTATCTTCTCAATACATAACATAAACAACAATCAGCAGCTGTCAGGCAAATAAAAATGATAACTCACCAAAGGTCATTTTTCCACTGATATATTTGGGATCTCTTTTAATATCAGCTATAGCTGCTATGGGTATTAACCAATTTGCTGCTGGTCCCCAAAAATGTGTGCTACAAAATGTATATCATTGATAAAATAAATGCTTCAAGTCAACAGGAAAAAAAAATATGCCCATTACCTCATGAAATAATCACGAGTTTCTTTGCTGGCGAATAGCTTCTTGATGCGATTCATTTTGGCAATTTATTCGACTCAATGGCTGTCGTTCGAGTTGGTAAAACGTGTCTTATTTAGCGGGCCCAGGCCTCTCTCAATTCTTATGCTAAGCTTTGGTTTCCCGAACTCCAACGTTAATTATGAGAGAGACACAATGTAATAGTGATGTGTTGTGTATATAATCAAAAAGGCCAAGAGAGTCAACGGGCTGAGTCGAAACGTCGTCTGCCAGCAATGCAATATCACGTGTAGCGAATGCGCTTGCGCGAGTTTGATACTAAAACACTATGTGACTAGGCAGAAGAATTTTGGGAAATATTCACAGTTTTACTACACATAATCGCTAAATGAATTCATTAAAATAATCAAGAATAAATGAATGAAAATACAATACTTTGTGATCTTTAAAATGAACGTGAAGTTGGGCATTATTAGGGTTACTGTATTGATATAGGTAAAAATACAATTGAAAAAATTGGCACATTTAAAGCATTGAACATATTTTTAATTTAGAACACTCATCCAAAATATTTACAATTTTTTATTCGGTAAAATAACTTTTATACTGTATACCTTAATAAATAATAATAATAGGCTTAATTTTTTCACTACATCAAACCTTCTCAAGGCGTATTGATTGCTTATATTTCCTTTTTTTGTATAAATTACAATTGCGTGCTTGGCGGGTATGAATATTGGGGTAAGGAGATATTACAAAATGTACACATTTTACCGAATTGACGCTTAAATATCGTATACAAACGTCTATCGATTTTTGTCAGTTTATCCTCTTACACGTATGTAAATATTCCAAACTTAATTATACACACGCGCATACACAAATCGTGTCTTTGCACGTATTTATATATCATTTAACAGATCTTTTGCTCACTTATTCCCTCTTTCGTTCGCGTAAAAATGATCTATTACAAATAATTCACCTCATCTTTAGTAAACGGCAAAGCAGTCAAACGTATCAAGCAATTCCGTTTCCTTAGAAAAATAATGTGATACGAGAACGATTAACACAGTTCACACTCATACAGTCGCACACACCCACACGCTTATTCACATGCATATAATATTATATATTTCATGATTGTGACAACGATTGATGCGCTTAAACTATGACACTCGATTCAACAAGAACAAAAATCTCGGTACATTTTACTGCTTTGCCTTTTTTCTTTACATATTACGACAATGTAACACACTCGTTTAGAAGGACCATTAAATTAATACTTATTTCTAATAGTACGACAAAAATCTCAACAATACATGTATACATACATATGTTAATTCATAATGCATGGATTGATATGCACATGAATATATAAACATATACGTATCTATATAAATTAATAAAAGTATTACATTTTTCAATTTATTAACATTTCAATTGTATCCTAAGATTTGTAATTTTACAATTATACATAATATATCAGGCAGCCACGGCATTTGTTCGATTATTTTTGTGTATAATTTAGTATAATTCTACTTTATTGTATTTCACTTTGATAAGCAAGATCTCTTCAAACAATCCCGTCAAATGACACAATGATACTTTCTTTATACATATGTGGAAGCATCATCTGCTAACTTTTTACCAAAACAGATGGCCTTGGCACATGATTGATGAAGACGATTAAATGCAGGTCTATTAAGTTGACAAATTACTTATACTAACCTGCTCGCTAAGTATAATTTATAAATTTCTATACACTCACTGGTCTAGCATCAAATTTACTATTCGCATTTAATTATCATACTATTTTGCATTACCTATTATTAAAACAAATCGGGTTAAAAATTGAACATTCGTTTTGTTCACGAAGATTAATAAGAATTCTATACTTATAATAAAAGTCAGATTTTTCCATGTAACAAGATACTCAATACTAACGCAATCACCATAATCTTGTTTAAATTAGTTCATGAGTGAAGAATAACATTGAAAATTATAAATAATTTATGAATATAATTTTACAATAAATTTCCAGTTGTATTTACATGAGCACGTGCAACTTCACATTCATCTAATTTAAGAATTTTTTTTCGCTCAAAGTAGTGTTGCTGCTTGCTGCTATTTATAAAATAAATTTTTAATGCTACATTTAATTTTAATAATTATTTCCGATATATATTTTTTTTGAAAATAGAAAACGACACCAATCAACTTCACATTCAGAACTTTAATTAGTTAGGCACCTTTGGGAAAGACAAGTAGTTAATTATAAATAAATGTTGTATTAATTTTACAATGCGAGATGCACAAACGATTTTTATCAAATAATTTTACAAGTTGGAGTGATTTGAATGAAGTAAATGACCGCACCATACAAAAGCAGAACACCACAGATTATACTGATCATCACAAATAATTTTTGTTAGACTTATTAATCAAACCTTCAAATCGTTAGTTAAGAGCATTACCGATACAAGCCAAATTATGCTAACATCTGCTATATCACAGTAATTGTTGAAACATACTTATAACGAAACACGCGTACTTTTATTCATGCTTAAAAAAACCGATTGACAGAATGATAAAAAATGGCAAGCTAAAATATTGGCAAAAAAAGATTAAAAGGTTTCGCAAACACGGAGACAATTATTTGTACGCATCTAACTTGAACCATATTTTACAACTCTTATCAATTATTTTACAAGAGACATTTACAAAAGCTTTTTCTTGGAGTATGGATTTTTTAACGCTTAGTTAAATTTTGTTCTAACGTCTCTCATTTTCAACGTTATAATATATACAAGATACTTTTACTTCATCATTTGGTCATTGGAAATAAAGCTCATTTTTCGGCTGCTTATAGGATTATATAATCATCAAGAGTAAACGAAATTATTAAAAAATACTCATAATGTAATTTTTATAAACGCAATATAAAACAGTTATATTCTAGCCAATCACAGAAAATTCGCACTTCCATTATAATTTCCAAAACTTTCTCATTTCAAGCTCAACAATTTATAGTTCCATGTTTAGAAATAAATCATTAAAATGTTGTCGGATTTAGTATTAGTACTGCATACTATATAACCTGACAAGTAACCCGTAGGGTTAATTATTTTGAACGATTGTTTTCCAAAGAACTAGTATGAGTATTAGACAATCTATACAATGTCTCTCACATTAATTGTTATTAAATCGAATATGCAAAATATTTGCAACTTTTCAATTTTAGTTAACCTTATAAATAATTTTACTCTCAATCCATACACGAACGAATGGAATAATGTAAATGAATAAAAAATATATATATTTATTACCCGCGCACTTATATGAATGCGCGTGACCCCTAATGTCATACATATACGGGACCTTGATTGTCGTTGTCGTCGAGACTGATGCGACTAGGATGATAAGCAGGTCCACCACCGTCGTCGAAGAATCGGCGAAACGTGAACTCGAAGAAGCCATGGAACGGTTTACCGTTATCCAGTAACTCGTCCGATTTGCTCGATTCCGACGATTCAGAATTTCGTAATTTATCTGGATCGACTGGATCGAAATTGCTCGTGTCCGTGGGATACTGGATACGAGGTATGTGTGGAGCTACTTGTCTGCGCAGACCCTTTTCAAAATCGATGCTTCCGAAGAACGGATGTGACTTGACTTCGTCGGCATTTTTACCCAGGCGACGATCCGCGCCGACGCATAATTTTAAAATCAAATCCTTACCCTCAGGGGAGAGATTTGCTTGTTTTGGAATATGCAGCGTCGTTTCCCAGTTTATTACCTGCGCGGCAAAATAAAAAATATTATTGCCAGGTTCCCAATTGTATTGATGCAAAAAAAGTGATAAAACAAACCTTGTATTGAGTTTCGGCTGGTGTATTGGCCAAGAAGGGCGGCGATCCGACCAACATTTCGTATAGAATAACACCAACGCTCCACCAATCACAAAGTTGTGTGTAACCAGTTCGTTGCAATACTTCTGGTGCAATGTAATTTGGTGTTCCGACGAGTGAGTGGGCCAAGCAACGTTGATGTTCTCGGTGCCGTCGTCGTTCTAATGGCTTTGACGTTATGCACCGGCACTCGTTGTTCCAATCTTCGGTCGGATCCATTGAGTCTTGTTTATTATGCCCTAAAATCATTAGCGTTCCAGTCAATAATCGTGGAAAAATAATAAAATAAGAATTAATATGGAGGATTCATACCATTTTGCTGGTAATATTTGGAATTATGCGTCCAACGAAAGCCCGTACACAAACCAAAGTCCGTGAGTTTGATGTGTCCATCCCGATCTATGAGTATGTTATCTGGCTTGATGTCTCGATGAATGAAACCCATTTTGTGGACACTCTCTACGGCACAAGTCAGCTCGGCAATGTAGAACCTGGCCAGCGGCTCTTTGAAAATGCCAAATTTAATGAGCAACGACATGAGATCCCCACCGGGTATGTAGTCCATGACGAAGTACAAGTTATCTTTATCTTGAAAGGAGTAATACAATTTAACGACCCACTCGTTGTCGGCTTCGGCAAGGATGTCGCGCTCGGCTTTGACGTGAGCCACTTGATTGCGATTCAGCACGTCGGCCTTGCGCAACGTTTTCATGGCGTAAAATTGATTCGTATCGATTTTACGCACCAAAGTCACTTCACCGAAAGCCCCGACGCCGATGGGCTTGATTTTCGTGAACATAGACTTATCCATTTTGGCTCGTTTTAACCTAATGTAATTTGACTCTTTTTGCGACAACATTTTGCGCATTTGACATTGAGCTTCGGCGCTGAGGCCGATCTTTTGCATCTCGCTTTCAAGCTGGAATCTTCTGAAGAGTCGCTGCTTGTGAGATTTAAGCACATTTTCGACGTGCTGTTCCATGAAAAATTTGAAGGCTTGTGGCGAGTAATTTCGCACCTTGCAATCCCTGCGCTCCTCTTCCTTCTCTTTGCTCATGTGTTTGCGCTCCGGTATAGGGGATTGATGCTTTATTTTGTACAAACCGTTGCCGGATTTCTTATCGTTCGGATTATTGCCTGTCGTGCCATTACCGGATACACCCTCTTGCATAGCCGGATAATTACTGTTATTGCTGTTCCGCTGGACGTTAGATTGTACCGAGGACGAAGCGGTGGGAGGCAAGGGTGGCGAATTGTCCGAGTGACAGCCGTTGTTTGCGTCGTTCATGCTTACTGTTGCCGGTGAATATTTGCGCTGCAACGGGGGATGGTGAGCCACTGGCGACGAACGGGGCGCCGAGCTATTCTCCACCGACGTGCCCATCGCCATGCATCCGTCGTCGCTGGTGGGTGTACCATACGGAGGTGGCGGCAACGGGTGATGCATGTTCCTCTGAGCTGCCAGAGCTTGCATGGTCGTGGCGTAGCTCGGTGGTTCCGTCGTGGGCACGCCGACCGTCACCCCGATGCTGCTGATCGACGAGGCACCAGCACTGGAGCCACCACCGCTACCGTTACTCGGTGGATAAGCCGGCGGGGGTGGCGTCCCTTGCTGCTGCGGCATCGCCTGTTGCTGGACCTGATGCTGCACCGCCTGCTGCTGGGCCGCGGCGGCTTGCTGCTTTTGCTGTATCGAGGTTGCGTAGCTGGGCGGCGGTGGCGGAGTACTGCTCGGCACAGTGGCGGGCTGCGGCGACGTCGGAGCTATCGCCGTCTGCAGCACCGGCTTCTGCACCTGCGTACTCTTCACCGACTGCATGATGATCGGTGGCTGGGTCTTGGCCTGACGAGCGCCCCAGGCTTGCAGAGGCGTTGGTCGTGCCATCGGAGACGGCGACTGACCACCCGCGGCTGCAGCAGCGGCCGACACAGTAATGGGCGAGGGCGAGCCCGCCGAGGTAGGCCCTGAATATATACCGGACGACGGACTCTTACGATAATCTTGCGACTGCGTTGGACTCTGACGATTTTGCATGGAAGCGCTGTACGAAGGCGGCTGCACGACACCTGCTGACGAAGAAGACGTAATTGGATAAGGTGGCGGTGGCTCTACTTGTGTGGCACCACCACTGCTCGACGACTGATATATACTTAGAGCTTGCATTTGCTGTGACAGTTGCTGTTGCACCTAATTACAAAATAAAAGAATAATTAATATCAGTGATCGATTATCCAAATCGAATGATGGTTTGCTTAGGAGCAACGAACCTGGGGTCCATTTTGTACGATCATAGGCTGTCTCCCTCCAGAACCAACGCTAGACGTAGACACAGGACTGGTGCCCCTTTGAGGTCCATTTCCAGCACCCGATATAGATGCACCACTGCCAGGCGTCGCGAGAGGTGGCCTACTCGGCACTACGGGCGCAGGGGACATGCGTTTCATCATTTCCTGCATTTTTACCGGCACAGTCGGTGGAGTGTAGGGCGCGTGAGGTGGAGGTGGTGGCGGTGGTGTCGAGCTACATCGTGGCGGAGGAGGCGGAGGCGGTTCTCGCTCGACGAACGACGAGGGCGAGTACTGCCGGCTCAGCTGGGGATGATGCGGACCGTTCGCTTGGCTCGGATCAGTCGGTAATCGAGGACTGTCCGAGCGCGAACTACCAGCACCGCTGTCGAGGGCCGGCGAACCGCGTTGCAGCGATATTTCGCGCTCCAGACTGGGCTTGCGTATGAGCTTGCCGTTGAGTTTGCTCATTCCGTTGAGGCTGGGGCCGTTCGTGGACACCTGCTCGCACGAGAGGGCTTGTTTCAGCAACTCTATGGAGGCTTCGAGTCGCCAACCGGTCATTTTCAGCGCCCGCAGGCTCGTTTCCTACAAAAAAACAATGTGTATTATTAGTATGAATATCTTTTGTCTGCATTGGTCAAGAGATTTTAACCAGAATGACTTATTTTAACTTTGTTAATATTTCCATTTTTTTAAATTTTATTTTGTGTTATTCATTTTAGAAGTGAATAATGCTAGTGTTTACATATCATGACATACATTTTCTTATTTAAAACATATTTGGTTTATTGTATTAAAAATGATTCACCCATGATTCATATCTACTTTTGAAGCACAATAATTTGATGAATAATATATCATGAATTTTCAGCAAAAATAATTCTTTGCTTATTAGTTACGTCAATCTGGCACTTGTGTGGTCAAAAGTCTCATTTGATATCTCCAGTTATTCAAAATTATACAATATACGAACCTCTGTATAGCCCATTGCTATTAATTGTGCTAAAGCCTGACGTTGTTCAGACTTATCATTTATAGATCCAGAAGCTCCAGATAGGCCACTTAAGCCAGAAGCAGAACTAACGCCGCTTGTAGTGGAAAGTGTGGATATTGTACTAGCAGCGCTAGATCCTTCTCCAGTACCACCTAAAATAGATTAGTTACACATTATAGATGCATTTGTTTATATGTAACCTTTTTAAACCAAGTAGAAGATCAACATACCGCTATTAGCAAATGGTAGCAAGGAGTTTCGAATCTCAGCGAGCGCCTTCTGATGGTATCCAGAAGAGCGTGTGTTTGACTTGCTGACTGCAGGCGGATTCATAGTGGCCCATGCTAGGCTCCCTGCTGGGAGCTAGCTCCAATCTGACAGAGTCATAAATACACCCACTTTGCGCTACGCACATCTAAGTTTCTTAATACAACAGTTGCACTGAGTCCTTTTTTGATTTTCCATACTTGCAACACAGTAAATTTTCAAGTTATAACAACTTTTGATAGGCACTTACACATACATCAAAGACCAAAAGGATCTCTAATGTACAAGAACTAATACTACAACAGTGCAGAAGACTTTGTATAAACTGGTAGCAAAAGTCACTTTACACATGTCAGGCACAATAATAACTCGGTGCAATGGACTTTTATTTATGCATTATTAGCAGGATTCAAGGCACGAGAAAACTGGCGATGAGCATCCAGGACGCGTCGGACAGCTCGAGCTGCATCATCGCACCCAGATTGTATTGGTTCAGTGTCATCTTGATAAGGTGCGAACGTTGGCTGCTACGATACCGTAATGAAACGATAGCGCTTCACGATGCTTCGAGGCTTAATTTCGAAGAGTAGCAGAGCGAATAATGAATCGTGATTCCATGCGTGAAAGAAGAATACCAATGATAAACTGTTGGAAACCATCTGCATTCATGAGCGATGACGGGAATGGGTAGCTGCAGCAGCGTAGCAGTAGCAGCTAATGTCGATGATCCTCGCGAGGGCACATCATAGCACTCTTTTTTTATCTCTCATTTGGCTCGCGCACGCACTGCCGATATGGAAATATTTTATCTTTTCATTATAACTTTGTATAGCTTGGAGCACTCGGAAGACGACGACCAAGACCAAGACGACGATGATCGAGTTTTGTCGGTCATGCACACGGAGTAGTAGTAGCAGCAGCAGCAGCAGCAGCAGCACACAGAGAAAGATACATACGCGACGAGCTTCTCCGTCGTGTGTATATATACATGCCTATGACTGTCTTGTATGCGCTGTGCAGCTGCTTGCCTTTCGCCTCCGTTAATGCGTGTACGTGCACTGTGCAGCAGTGGACGTTGGCTGCCTTTGCGAAGATGACGAACGGCGACGAGGACAACGACGACGACGACGACAGCTAAGCGCGAGGACGTCGGCGACGATCGTGATAATAATGATATGCGAGCTATGCTCTGCGCGCTACGTCGAATGTCGCAAAAATTCGCACGGTGCTCTCTCTCTCTCTCTCTCTCTCTCTCTCGCTCGCGCACAGTCGTTGGCTGTGTGTAGTAGTATACGTGTGTTGGTATGAGTGTGCGAGCGCAAGTATGTGTCTGTGGCGAGTGTATATATGCTGCTGTGCTGCTGCTCTGCCTGTATGGCCTGGATCAATCGAATGATATCGTCGCCGTCGTCGTGGTCTCTCACGAAGCTCGGAAATAAACTTTTGCACGTATATACACACGGGGCCAACTTTTTTATATACACAACAACGTGTATATAGTACGTATGGATGCGTATCGCCCTCTCGGTTGTAAACGTATATATACATATATTGAAAAGTTCGAAGAAAGATCAGCGACTGTGGAGCTGAAAAATTCGGAGCAGCTCAGCAGCTTTCGTGGTCCTGCTTCGGCATAGCAGTACAGTCGCAACTGCGGCTCTCATCGAAGAAACAACAAAATATCTCTCTCTTTCTTCTCTCTATTATAGTACGCGTATTAGATGCGTGCGATACGTTCATCTCAGCAAGAGAGCAGCTCAGCTCGGCTCAGAGATTAATATACAAGGCTGGCAGCTATATAGCAGCCGCAGCAGCAAAGCACTAGCATAGCAGTAGTAATATGAGCAACAACAGCAGCTGGACTTGCGAATACAATAATTACAGATTTTACGGGTCTCGCGCGGCAATAATTCGCTAGTAGTAGTAGTAGCAGTAGTAGTAGTAGTACGGAGAGTCAAACAGTGCCTACATGTATAGGATAACGCGTGCGATAAAGAGCAATAATGAAAGAGAAAAGGAGAAAAAAAGGCACACGCAGCTCGCGCGCGACACAGAGAGGGATATATATTAAATATGTGTGTACACCTCGCGCGCGGGCTGCGGCGGGTGGGGTGCAGGGGGAGGGGTGGGGGCCTTAGTGGGCCGACAACAAAGGCCGAGCAGGCCGTAAATTACTAAAGTAACTGGCAGCCATTTTGAAGTGCCACATTCCTGGGGACCGACTTGACACTCGCTTTACCTCGGCTCGCTCGCGCGCTCTCTTAGCTCTTTCTCTTTCTCGCTCGCAGCCAACAGTCGTGACTCGTGTTCTATACTTTGCAACTATACGTGCACACACATACACGAGTCCCTCTCTTTCACTTATACACTCGCATGTGTATGCTACTGTCTCTCTTCTGTGTGCGGTACAGTACGTATACTCTTCCAACGCTGCCGAGAGCCAGTGCATGCGTGCGTGTGTGTGCATGCGAATAAGAGAGGCTCGCTCCGCCGCTGCCGCTGTGCTCGTTGCTGCGACTCACTTGCAGCTCGCGCGCGCGATCGCCCCAGTGCAGTATGTATAATGTATATGTGCATCAAATGCACACACGCATATGGACGCACTGCACTCGCACGAGTGTGTATGCGTGTGCAGTGGCAGCTGCACTTGCCTTTCTCGCTTGTGCGCGCACTCGTATACTCACACACGCATCGTCGTATAACTAGTCCAATGCGCGCAGTTCGCGCTCTCTTTTCCTTTTCTTGTGCGTTTGTTTTGATTCGCGCGCGCATTCCTGCTGCAGCACCGAACGCGTCTTGCGCGCGGGGCACTTAGCATCCACACACACACACACACACACACACCTGCGATATGTGCTTACTAAGACACGCGAGTCTTTGAATTTTGTGAATCTTTTTAACGGAGCGACGACGTCAGTCTTCTGACGTTTCGCGTTCGATCTTGTCGAACTCTGACGCAGGTACAAATGTCAAATGCTTTTTAACAACTGTTTATCGAACGCAACTTTTTGCAATTTCAGGGGTAACGATTCTTACCACTTGCTCCCTTGCGATAACGCGTACATACAGCTTACTTAAGAAGCGCGTGACAGAATTCATAGAACACGGGTTAACACCTGTCAAAAATTTAAATACCTCCTAGCGACGGTTTTTCGTACTTACCGACCGAAAAATGGAGAGTTTCGTGCTGCTCGCGTTGTCATCTGCGCACACCCATCGCAGCCGCATGACATTATCGTAAAAACAGCAGCGCCGCGGTCGTGCAACGGTGCGGGCGAATTATCAGTCATTTAAAGATATAAAAGACCGCATATCAATGCCGCGCCGCCGTGTAGCGCTCCGAACTCAGTAAAAAGTCGTCGTCGGTCTTCTTCACTACACACCGTAAAACTCGTAGTCCGTAGCGCTGCGTCTATCGCGTTGGGTGTTGTGTGCAGTGTGCGTGCACCTACTTACCTAGCTCGTGTCCATACTTCTTTGTAACAGGCTTGGTTGCTCGACGAAAAAGTATACATATGCTTGACGTAGTTATTGCGAATTGACTTTAGGTACCTTGCCCGAAGGGCCAATCAATCGAGTTACCTGTCGTTCATTAACTTATTACTTCTCTAAAAAATCAGTTTGCTTTAAGGTTATATTTATTTGTTTTTTAGACATTAAAGTGTCGTTGCTTTGCATCGATTTCTTCTTGTGTTGACGTTCGATCCTGAAAACATCAGTGTCTCCTGAGGGTTGTAACTTAAACTCAACATGAAAGTCGTTCGGCCGAGAGTGTTCTTCGATGTCGAAGTGGGTGGATTGCCAATTGGCCGAATCGTGTTCGAGCTGTACTCGGATGTTTGTCCAAAAACAACTGAAAACTTTCGAGCTTTGTGCACCGGTGAAATGGGCATGGGCCAGACCACGGGCAAACCTCTCTGTTATAAGGGCATCGTTTTTCACAGAGTAGTGAAAAATTTCATGATTCAAGGAGGAGACTTCTCCGTCGGCAATGGAACCGGTGGTGAATCTATCTACGGTGGTACCTTCAAGGATGAAAATTTTCACTACAAACATGAGAAGCCATTTCTGCTATCAATGGCAAATCGTGGAAAGGACACCAATGGGTCACAGTTTTTTATAACGACTCAGCCAGCTCCACATTTGGATAACATTCATGTTGTTTTTGGTGAAGTTGTTTCCGGTCAAGGAATTGTATCCCATGTCGAAGGACTTCCAGTTGATAGAAAATCTAGGCCCCTGCAAGATGCCAAAGTAGTAAATTGTGGTGAACTTGTCTTAAAGACTAAACACAAACAAAAACGAAAAGAAAAAGTTAAAGATAGTGAATCCGAATCAGATTCTGATTCAGAAAAACCAAAAAAGAAGAAATCAAAAAAGAAGAAGTGGGATGTTACAGCTGAAGAAGCTAAGGAAGAACTCGAAGAATCTAAACTTTCAAAGGATGAAATTCCACATCCACTTGTATCTACAACAAAAATAGATCCAGATGAAATTCCTCAAGTGCCTGCAAATCGGTTTTTGGATAGAGGTGCAGCAACAAATAATGCAAACCAAAGACAATTTTTCAACCGTAGACAAAACTTTAGAACATCACCTGGAGGTAGAACTTTTAAGGGACGTGGTGTTTGCAGATATCGATCTTTTTCACGTAGTCGTTCAAGAAGTATAACACCACCTCATTGGAAGCAAGCTCAAAAAAGGGTTCCTAGGCCATCGCAATGGGATAGACCTGATGAAGATGCTCTAAACGATGATAAGATAAGAAATCATAATAAATATGATAATCATTCTTCACATAGTAATGGTAAATCACATAGCGATGGAAAGTCACATAAAGATAGGAAATATAGCGACGAAAAATTAAATAATGACGAAAAATCTCATAGTGATGGGCTCAAAAAAGAATCAGAAAAAGAAAACAAACATAAGAAGGATAAAGAGTCGGTAAAGGATGGTAGTAGCCCTAAACATCATAAGCGTGATGTAGCATCAGAAAAAGAAAGACGGAATTATCGCTCAAGGCATGATTCTACTGATCGAGATGATCAATCCAGAAGCAAACATAAGAGCAGTAAACATGATCGTCATCATCGCTCAACTAGTAGACATCGCGAAGATAGAACTCATCATAGCAAATCTTCTCATAAGAGATCTCACCACGAGTCTTCATCAAATTCCAGAAGCAAATCATCACATCACCGATCACACAAAGATTGATCTAGCGGAATAAAATTATAATTGGTAGTTTGAATCTACCAAACTTATATTTATTATATTTTGTAATCTATGGAGTATGGTTTTGCATTTTTATTGTATTTCACTACTATCAATTTTGATATTGTAAGTTTTAGCTCCATATTTCGCCACATGAATCTTTATATAAATTATTAATTAACTGTGAAAACTTTTTCTTGAATTTTCACTAATCTTTCAAATGAACTGAAGATTCAAAATTCACAATTTTGAATTCAAAGTTGACTCTAGAAATGAATTGTTTTTCATGCACATTTGAATAAAATTGTAAATACTTATGCAGTTTCAATAAATTTACATGATTAAAAAGTCTAAAAATGTTCTTTTAATAAAAAACACCAATTATCTAAAACATAAAAATTTAATATTTCTGTTAACGTTGGGAACCTAAATGTATTATACATTTATGGTAGTTGTACTTATTGTAATTATTTTCCGAAAAAATATTTGCCTTAAAATTGAACGACAGTCGAAATTCCGTACCTACGCATTGCGCGGTGCGCCATCGAATAGAAACTGGAGAAACTGCTTTATACGCTCGATAATACAATAACACGCGAGACCGTATTAGTCGCAGGTTAAGTCTACTGATAATTGTTGAGTCTGCTACTTGAGCAAATTAAGGAGTTGAATTAAAATTAATCAACAATATTAACATATTTTGACAGTTAAGAGCTTTGAAACAGTAAAAAATGTTGGTTCTCCGGGCGTTGACAAAACGTCAATTATCTAATGTCAAAAATGCAGCGGCATGTTATCAAGCTCGTACATTAACAGCTCAGACTAATGCTAAAACTGCAGAGCCGAAAAGTGATTTAACTAAAGATTTCCAGACCTCGAAACTACCGGCTGCGTTGCCCAAGAAACCCAAACGCGAACCGTTTGCCAAAAACCTTTTTATTGGTGAATTCGACTACAATTTTCTTACCTATCCAGAGCCCCAACATGTTGACAGGTAGGATTTTATTTTCACTCTAAACTTGCGACGAGACACATTTTAATTTTTCTCTATGAATTATAATACAGATACAATGAGTTCGAAGAATTGTTCAGTCCAATAAAAGCTTACTTGGAATCATTGAATCCTGAAGAATTTGAAGATGGTATTCCAGATCATGTGCTACAAAAGTTACGTGAATTTAAGATATTTGGTGCTAGGATATCTGAAGATTATCAAGGTATGAATTTAATAGATTCAGAATACATTAAGGTTCTGGAAGCAGCAGGAAAAGTACCAGCACTAGGTATTTTTCTTCTTAAGCAGGGCGTACCTGCCATCAACTTGTTCAACAAGTATGGAACTGTTGAACAGAAATTCAAATATTTACCAAAAATAGCAACTGGTCAAGTCATACCTACTATAGCTGTTACTGAAAAAAATAGTGGCCCAGCAGCTAAACATTTTATGACCACAGCAAGCTTAACTTTAGATGATAAGCAATGGGTTTTAGATGGTGAAAAAACATTTGTTGCCAATGGTCTAGTTGCAGATGTTTTTATTGTTTTTGCTCATGCTTTCCAGGGTGGTACGATGGAAAAGAGACCAGAAACAATTTCAGCATTTATTGTTGATAAAAATACTAAGGGTGTTCAAGTTGTGCCAGACAGTGAGACAGTTGGTTTAAAAGGATATACCACAGGAAAGTTGATAATGAAGAATGTTCATATACCATCTGAAAACATTCTTGGAGAGGTAAAATTTTTTACTTTAAATATAGTTTTATTTTATTTTCTCATGTATAAACATTATAAATTTCACTTGTAGGTTGGTAATGGTGCACAGCAGCTGGTAGAAAATTTCTCTGAAAATCGTCACTATATAGGGGCCATTACGATGGCCATATTAAAAGATCTTCTAAATAAATTAACTCAAGATAATATTCACCGAAAACATTTCAATTGTATGTTTTATGAAACCGAATCAGCCCAATATGTATTTACAAAATTAATGGGAGCCATTTATGCTATGGAAAGTGTCTTATATTTAACAACTTCTTTGCAAGACATATATGAAAATCCAGATGTTATATTAGAAATGGCTATAACAGAAAAGTTTTGTGTCCAGGAGTGTTTGAATTTGCTACAAGAAAGTTTATGGTTGGCTGGTCCAAAAGCAACTTTATTGATACATCCTTATGAACGTATTCTTAGAGATGTTTATTCATTGACTTACTCTGAAATATCTCTGATTGATACCAATATATATTCAGGATTATTAGGTGTTCAGAATTGTGGAAAAGCATATGCTGAAGGCATCAAAAAAGCCCGTAACCCTTTACTGTTTCCTGTTGATATGATAAAAAAACATTTCTTTGATACCAACCACTTAAATTTACATCTGGAAGAATATCTGCATCCTTCTTTACAAGAATGTGCTGATTTTTGTGACAGATGCATATTAAAACTTCAAGAATGTACACAAGAAATATTAATACGATATGGCACTGAAGTTGGCAAAAAGCACATGGATATGCAACGACTTAGTGATATGGTATCCCAGATTTACGCGTATGTAGCGGTTGTTGGAAGAGCTTCGAGATCGTATTGCATTGGTAATAGAAACAGTGATGCAGAAATCAAACTGTGCGTGGTGCTGGCTTATAGAATGCAGCAAAGAGTATTTCAACTCGCCGAAGATATTATGAACAGCGAATTCTCTAATGGTGACCATCTTAGCAAAGAATTAAGCAAGATTCATTTTGAACAAAAAAAATATATTTTCGAAAATCCTTTGCAAAGAAATTATTAATTCAGTATGAAAATAAATTTCGTAACTGCATTTGACTCAAAAGCGAATTGTAGACTGGACTCTGCGGACAATTTGCAATGGAATGAATTAAATCGGTAATTGATAATTGTTATCAAATGTACATGTTCTTTTTCAACGGAAATATAATGTAAGGAAAAGATGTGTAGGAAAATCATTGTAAATATTGTATTACTAATAGAGTATATTATTAATATTGACATTTGAGAAAAAAAAAAGTTTATTTCTTTTTATCAGAGAATCGTTTACTTTATTTCTTCTCTTTTTATAACGCACTTGACAATGCACGGACGCCATTTGTATACATCTTATCTCGTCGCTAACATTTATCACTATTAATTTTTCGTAAGAGCGAGAGCTGAAGAATTCAAAAGTCGTCGGTAAATGCATTTGAATTTAATATTTATGCTACAGTCAATTAAATAAGTTTAGTTAGTTAAAAAACGTTTGTTTTTCTTTTCTATTAAAACATTTTGTTTGATTTGTTTTCAAACTCATTTACATAAATTTTCTATGTAAGTAACTATTTATATTTTAAGGTTTTCTCACTTTCTTTTGATTCACAAAATACTTTAAAAATAACAAATAATTTCTCTTCACTTATTCACTATGTTTCAATAGTTGCATTAACAATGTAGAAGTAGTACATGAGCTAAACTCGAAAAAGTTCTAGTAGTCTTTAGTTGATAAAATATGTATCTTTTCTTATGGTAAATGTATAATATATATAATTGAGTAGTTCTCTGACAATTTTCAACTTAATATCTATTTGATGCAATTCCATTTAAAAAATTAAAATAAAAAAATTCATAACAAAGCTACAAAATAAATTCCTAAAACAAATATCTACAAAAAGAAATAAAAAATCAATTACATTTTAGAGATCTTTGTATCTTATCACAAAAAATAAGTGAGGATCATTTCTACTCTTTCAACTACACAACTCAAATCGTTAAATGCACTTTCAATGATTAAAAATAAATCTTTTTTTTCACTGAGTAGTAAGTAACAGTGATACATTATCATCAATAGGTACATGATAGGACTTTTTACATCGAAAGTCTTTATCGATATTTTATACTATTAGAATAATAATTACAATTCAGCTACATTCTTTCAGCCTGAACAATCATATGTTCTTCTCGGTAGGAATCGGTGTTAGACCAGCAACTACGGGCACACGTAAAAACGAGCACAGTGCCGAATTCCAGTCGGAACGGTCGATCGGATTTACCAGACAGTTCAAGTTTCGATATCAGAGTAGGAAGGATTTGTAGCTCAAAAATCATCTCTTCGCCACAGTGACGGCAACGTCCGATGCACCCATCCATAGGGTAAAGTAGCAGAGCTACTGAATTGTCCCTTGAGTACCTGAAAAATGTGTCAATTAAATTATTTTCCTTTTAATATCATTGTAAAAAGCTACGTTGACGTTTAAAAAGCCACAAAATAAAGATATCTATGTAGCTTTGTAGAAAAATAATATGTCTACTCTTAAAAATATTCTATGGCACATACCTAAGAATATGACCAGGATTTTCCTGCATCTTTGTATAGAATTTATGAAACATTTTGTCTCCGTGTCTTGGAGAGTCTTTTTCATACTTTTCAGCTGCTGTGTCGTAACCCTTGCAAGCCTCATCTTTTGTGTCATCTCTTTGGTATTCAACTTGAAGATCTCGAACATGTTGACTGCTTTCTGAGGTAGAAGAATCATATTCTTCAACCACCACAATAAACATTTCGACAAATTGGGCATTATGGGAGACGGCCTTAGAGTCTGTTAGTGATGGACATGGTGGAGGTGTGACTTCTTGAATAAGCATAAGTAGATCATTTCGTGGTTGAGTAGGAGTATCAATACAAACAACTTCACTTTCTTCTGCTTCAATTTCTGCAGAAGCTTTGAGAGAATCTAAACAACCAACTGCTCCTACACCAACTGGAGAATCCACACTAGTTGGGCTTTAGTATTGTAAAAAAAATTATTGATAAAAATGAAAACGAGAAATACTATAAAATAATGTCCAATTAACCCACCTATTGGCATTAGGATCATCAACTTGTAATTCTGAAAAATCGGCCTCCAATTTATCTTCAGGATTTATGTTTTGAGTTGACAAACTGAATTTGTTAGGATCATTAGCGAGTACATTGTTTCCATTTCTCTCTGATTCATTATCATTTACACTATCACCCCAGTCATCTGCATCAGATAACCACCATGTTGGATTGAGTTTTTCTTTAGTGCAGGAACTTGATAAAGATTCTGTATTGGTTGCTTCTTCTAAAGATTGCACCCTGAGGCACGTCCAACTTTCATTATGATTCCAACAGTTAGGGTTGAGACAAGCGAAAATGTACAGAGTTCTATGATATTTAGAGTTGTCTAAAGGAGCATATATTTGAAGAGCTAATACTTGATGTAATCCACATAGTCTGCACTGAGGTGATTCCAATTTTGTTTGATCATTATGCCAATTCTAATAAATAAGATATAGATTATTAAAGTGTGATATTCAGTTGTCCAACAATATTTTTAATCAAAATCTCATTGTAAATTATAAAATGAAACAATCACAATAAAAAAAGTTTTCACATTTGTATTGATATATATTTATAATTACAGATTTAACAAGATTGCAATAAAAATTGAAAACCATAATTCATAGTAAAATCTTCAGTTGTGTTTAAAAATTTGTAAATATTTAGAAATTAGACTTACAGGTTTGCCTCCAATTTTATTGGTGGTGAAATCCACAAGGCTACTGAGTTTTTCATTGACATACTCTTCATCATAGCCTAAATAAACCTTACTCTTGTGCTGAGCCATTTATTCTGTTATTAACTTGTGGATTGACGCAGATGACTCGTTGAATCGGTAAAAAGCCAATGTTTTGTCACTTTGTCGTCGTTCAGTGTTGAGCCAGCAACTGCTATGGTTTTCAGCAGTGCACCGTTGTAACTCTATCACAGCTGACTAAGGATTGATAATAAGGCTTAAAATGCACTGACACTGAATACATTCGTTTCGGGCTTGCGCTTCGTGCAACTCTGCAAGGGTTGCGCACTAGAGACTGAGAAACTGTTATATGGACTCTCTGCTTCGCTTCTTATCGATTTTTACCACCGGCGGAACTTTTAATGCAATAATTTCCCACTGTCACGAGATTCGAGTTTTTATAGTCGAATGTCGGAACATGCAACTTCATTAAAAATCGAATAGAATGTAATTGATCAAACGAAGAGCCTTTCGGAGAGACAATTACCGCACCGCACGTGTAATATGTATTCGTTTACTGTCAGAGAGTTGTATTCTGTACGGAGGTTATCCACTTGAATCGTCTGCTAGTGGGGATTGAATCTGTAGCGACTCCACGTTCTCACTGTATTTTCCCATAATAACCGGGTAAAAGGCGATCCATTTCCTCTATGGGAAATTATATAGCATAAAAGCATTGCTGCATTGTTCAGTCCTCAATACAAAAATTCTTATAAAATGAGATTGCATTTGAAAAAAAGAATAATTATTCAAGTTCTTAAAATTTCTTAAATAAACGATTTAATAACAATTTTTCAAGTAGTTACGTCTATATATTTTACAATATTTACAATAATTAAATAAAATTAGTTCAAAATTTTTATTTATACAATGAGACATCAATCTTTTCATCTTCACAATACTCCAAAATGATATCATTACCATTAACTAAACAGTTTGACTTGATAAACTGTGACAATGTATCACTAAGATCTTTACTTACAATATCACCTGTCTTGTGATTAAAAATTCTAAGCTTGGTGGCAGTTGCAACATTATTATTATTGGGGACATTTAATAAATCAGATATATTGTCTATTATTCTACCGATACTCCACTCTGTTGATACGAATACTGCTTTAGGTCCAGAATTTGTTTTCAATGTACCTTTAATAGGAAGATGAACTTGAAAGTAACAACGTTCAGCAATTGGAATATTTTTTAAACCCACAGCTTTTCCTTTTAATTTCATAAGTTGCACCTGAAAGTAACATCTCAATAAATATAAAAGTAACATTGATTTTCAATGTTAGATTTCTATATTTCTTTACCTTGTTAGCCATTGCAGAATTCTTACTTGATTTGATTTTACTATCTACATCTTTATCTACATTGGTTTTAGATTCTTGGAAATCTTTTTTTGCTTTTTCCCAATTGTCCCATTTCTGACAATGTTTTTCATCATGAAGTGGTTGTGTAAAAGCAGCATCCCTTATGGCAAATGCTTCAGCAATTGGATTATCTTCATGTAGTTCCTTGCCAGTGAATTTAACATCTTTTTTTGACTCTGGATCATCATTAATTTTAGGACAGAGATGCAAAGATGCATTATAATGATCTTTGCAAAAAAATTGTATGCACTTTTCACACTTCAAAGGTAAATAGTCAAGCTGTTTACATTCTGTGAATGAACATTGTGATCCAACCTCAGGCAATTCCATTGTTTTGAAATTCTAAAAAAATTGCGAATACTGAATTAATCAAAATTAAAATCTGAATCATCATACAAGAAATTGAAAAATTGTTTAAAACTGTTTATCAGTATATGAAACAAAAAAGTGTAAACATCCGCGTTGTTCATTGCTACCGAATGATGTAAACAAATTCAGGAAATTTGATCGTTCGTTAACATCGTTTTCGTCAGCATGACAAACTCGTTCGACTTGGGGAAAAAAGAGAATGCGAAATATCAAGGCAGAAATCCTTGACTTATCAAAAATCTATAAGTACAAGTTAGAAAATACGAAAAAAAGAAGAATTATGATACATGATATAAATAGCGGGGTGTAGGAAAACACGAAGAGAAGAAAAAATAACAACGAACGAGTATTTTCAACAGTCGGCGGTCAGTTCATCGGTACTACAAAGAGAGATGAGTCTTTTTTCTTTAAAAATAAATCAAATTCGTCAGCTCTCTCGCGGTCACAACATTGTCGTGCGAGTATTCGTCTGCTGTTTTGACTAGGCAAAATTTTCTTGGATCAGTCACACAATGAGCGCAATTAAGTTTCATTAAATCTTAGAATACAAAGGTGGCAATGCATTTACCTAAGTTGTCTGAATTCTTGGTATTGAAAGAAGTACCCAAGGAATTAAAATATTACAGAGCAACAAAAAAAGGAGTGGAGCCTTTACCGAGCGCAACAGCTTAAAACACAACAGCGACTTCAAAAAGCCTACACGCGCTATCACACACACACGCGCGCGTCCACGCATAAACTCGAAGTTCGAACTCGTGCAAACGGCAAAGTTCAGGTTCTGTGCCGCGCGGCCTTCATCGAGGAGCGTGTGGTCGACGACACACAAAGGCTGCAAAAACGTGCAGCTGCATGAATACTATACCTATACATGTACAGACTCGTGTACACAAAGCAGCAACGTATATAACGATATATATCGTGTGTGTACACTTCTACAGTTTAGCATTGGTTTGATGCGCGAGCTGCGGCCCGGGTACATGTAATGTCGCGAGAAGGACGCGCGCGCGTGTTCGTCTGTTAAAAACCTATACCTATATATATTTTTAGTACATCTACCTATACATACATTGTACAGAAAATCTACGTGTGTCGTGCGAATTTACCCACAGCAGCAGTAGCGCAGCAACAGCAGCAGCAGCGACGATTCTCTTGGTCGTCGAGCAGACTCGATCGAGTAAAAGTCCTCGTCGAATGGGTGGACTAGTTTTATAGCATCAATCGGCGCCCTCAACAGTTTCGTTACTGCGAGCAAAAAAAAAAAAAAAAATTAAAATTCAACGCGTTGCAAAATCCACGCTTCGTGCATACTCAAGTGCAAGTCGGAGCAGCAGTAGTGCAAGCGTATTCGTGCATGCACTTGATTAATACGGACGCGAAATCGCAAGTGCGCTACCTATAGCAAATTACGCACGATACAGTCGAGCGTTTAATACTTACACGTACAAAAGAAAATATATATCGAATATATATAAGCGAGCGGGGTGCACAGGGGGAAGAAAGGAAAGCCAAGAGTGAAGAAGCCCTCTGCGATTGCGGCCAAGACTAGTTCGTGTGCGCGTGAATCACCGACTCTCGTCCGAAGATAAAAGCGTATATTGTACACAGCAACTGTCCGTACCAAAATCCAATACCACCACATTGCTCATCGAGCGTGCCTTCGAGCAGCATCTTCGTCGTTACACGCAGCCCGATAAATCTCAAGTCATCGTGCTGATATAAAGCCATTATTTTCAAATAAACAGCAAAACGTCGTCGACGAGTCTCCGCGATTCTTGCGATCGCCAACACATTTGCCTATATAGCCGAGATATACGTAGTGTGTCCCGTCGACTCTAGTGTGTGTTAGTGCGTGCGAACTCGGCTGTGTGTGTCCGTGTGTCTGTGCGTGATTATACGAGCAGTCCGAAGAGAGAGAGAGCAAGACAGAAGATTGAAGAGACTCGACTGCTGCTGCTGTGTGCTACTATACTGTTTGCTGCAAAAAACTGCTGTCAGAGATACTACGCGTAAAAAGACCTTCGTCTAGAAGTTTACATATAACGTATTCGTAGATAGAGTTAATTCAATAACATGTCGACACCCGCGAGAAGACGACTCATGCGAGATTTCAAGAGGTAAGGATATCCTTTGCTCGCTTTTTTGCCGTATTTTTCACGAGTGTGTGGCTCAGGAGTTATAATACCTTTTCTCGATTTGGGGCCCCCCTGTGCCGTGAAAGAAAGACAGAAAGAGAGAGAGAGAGAGAGAGCGAGTGCGCTTGTATGTATGTGCGTGCGAATCATTTGCGAATGTGTGCGACATTTGGGATGTCTACGTTCGCGTGTTGTACAACACGATACATTATAATGACGTTATTATTATACAGCAACCAGCTTTTCTTTCTCTCTCTTTATCTCACACACTCGCTCTGGGAAAATCGGAGAAAATGCACTTCCGTCAGGCCAAATCGAAACGCTCGTCGAGCGCGCAGATTCCTTTACCATGTTTTTCCCGATGACGTTCTTTGTGAATTTTATAATTAGAAGCGAGCCAAAATGTGTACTCTTTCAATTGCTATTATATACATATATGTGTGTGTGAATACGTACAAGTCTGTGTGCGCGCACACACACACTCACAAATATGCACACGCATATATATATATATATTTATAAATACATACATGTAAATGTACTACATATAAATACCAATGTACTCTTTCTGATGCCTGTTTTTTTAATTGGTACTATGGACCGATTATCAATCTTTATGCTTTTTGTTTGTGCAGATTACAAGAAGATCCACCAACAGGAGTTTCAGGAGCACCAACCGATAATAATATTATGATTTGGAATGCTGTTATATTTGGGTACGCTTCCAAATATTCATGGCCAGTTTTTTGTTGATGCAACTTTGATGAATTGCTTTTTAAACTAATTTATTGACACTGAACATTGACTTTTTTGCAGACCACATGACACACCATTTGAAGATGGAACGTTCAAACTCACAATAGAATTTACAGAAGAATATCCCAACAAACCACCAACGGTTAGATTTGTTAGTAAAATGTTCCATCCCAATGTTTATGCAGATGGTGGTATATGTCTTGACATTCTTCAAAACCGTTGGAGTCCTACGTATGATGTGTCCGCAATTTTAACTTCTATACAGGTAAGACAATTTTAAAAGTGCCAGAATCATTGTTCTTCATATGTGTAGTTTTTGTCAGTAATGACTTCTTTGTTACTCAATAAAACCTTAACAGCGGTTGCAATTTCATCAAAGTTAATTTTTGATGTGCTCAATGTTACTGAGTGTTATGATCTATTAACCCAAGATTGAAATCATTCATCAATTGACTATTAAATAATGAAATGAATATTTTTTAAACAATAAGAAATGATTCATTTGTAGAAATTAATTTCTTCAATCCTTACAATTATAGCAAAAGTGATCGGTTTATCAGCAATCTGTATATCATAGCCAAGTTTAAAGCTTCCATTGATAATTAAAAATATAAAGTAGAATTAAATATAATTAGCATTATGATATTTATATTGCTACATGAATCTTTCAATCATCAATAACTCATCATCATTACCTTCATATTGGCTTTTATTTGAATCCCATCAAAAATTTTTGAATTGAATTGACTAATGATTCCTTGAAATCTGTTAAATTTTCTCAAAATACTTGACAATAGTTTTATGCTTAAAACGAAAAATCTGAAAAATTTAATTAGTATAGATCATAGTGAAAAGATGATTAAAACTTTTGTGTGGTTGCAGTCGCTGTTAAGTGACCCAAATCCAAATTCACCCGCTAATTCGATGGCGGCACAACTGTACAAAGAGAATCGGCGCGAGTACGAGAAACGAGTGAAGGCTTGCGTGGAGCAGAGTTTTGTGGATTAGTTGGAGGCAAGAATACGCCGCTGTCGCAGTAGCAACTTAAGGGTACGCTATACTGACACTTTTTTTTTTTATAAAAAATTGATAGTTTTGTCCAACGACAATTTTTATTATGGTTTTATGTAATCAATCAAAATAAATTTCATTTCTTGCAATTTTTATCTATAAACCATTTTGAAGCATCATAAAATAAAGTTTTTTATGACTGATCAATTATCACAATTTTTTTTGAGTTATAATTTAATTAGAGTTGAATCATTATAATCAATTGTTGAGTAAGGTTGAAAATGCCAAAAAGAAAACAATACTCTATCGGCTAATAGAAGCAATAATTATTTTAATTTTTAGTTATGTCAGTATACCGTATCCTTACTGGCAGCTGACACAAACTACAACATGCTGCAACAGTGTCTACAAGGTGTACCAAGGATAAGAAGAGAGTTCATGTGCCACTCTTTAAATTGGAGCTAATGCCGTGTGCTTTAGTTTTACAAATGTGTCAACTTCCCAAGACTTTAATTCCAACACCAATACTGTATCTTATCCTTTGTTCTTGCACACACCTTAAACATAAATAATTACATCATTACTGTAGTCCATGTTAAAAACTGATTACAAATTTTATAGTTCTGTTTCATTTTTAGTATTTTTTCATATGCATTGTTTTGATATAAGTAAATATGAAAATGAACTTTTAATCTACTTCCTAAATTGATGAAATCATAAATTCAAGATAACTATTTGACAAGTTGGTTATAATGATGCTGCAACATCAATTGATTAACTTTCAAATAAATCATACTGATATTTATTTTTAAAAGTACATCAAATTTCTAAAAAATTTCTTTGATAGTTGTTCATATTAACAATGTTTAATTATGGAATTTAATTATAATTCAATTTGATATCTTGCATCATGAAGATAACATTCAATAGCAAACAACCCTAATAAATTTAGATAGAATTTCAAAGGTGTTGTAGAATAAATTAAAAACTTAATTTATTTGTTGGAATACCTTAGTGATATTAAAAAAAGATGTGAATGGTGATAAGGGATGAGCTTTACATTGCAGGATTCAAAATTTTAGAAGTTTGAATTGAAGCCAGTTTTTCTTTTTCAATTCTGCTTTTTGTACAAGCTCTGAATAAAATTATAACAAGAGACACAAGTGACGCTGATGTAAAAAGAAGTGTAAAACTGTTATTTTGATTACAATTGTCATTTCAATAAAAAATATTGCTATATCTATTAGAATTTTAAGTGATGTACTTTCATAGTACAGTTAAATTAACTCACTTATTTATCATAATTTAAATTACATACGTAAAAGCATAAAATAAATGCATAATTTGACTTTGTACACCAGTCTTTTATTTTTTCCTTTTATCAAAAATAATCTATGTTTCAGTCTTTATTAGATGAGCCAAATCCAAATTCACCTGCTAATTCTTTAGCTGCTCAATTATATCAAGAAAACAAACGAGAATATGAAAAAAGGGTGGCAACTGTGGTTGAGCAATCTTGGTTGAACTTTCAAGAAAGTGGTTCAACAGAAGATCCACACTGACATTAAATAAATGTAAAGTATGAATCACTTATTAAATTATTTATTAAATTTTTTTCAAGGTATTAAAAATTCATAATTGGACAATGATGTTTGTTTTTTTTTCAATTATTAAATTTCCAAAATCACTTGGCAAATATAAATTTTGATAATAATACGCAATAAAATACCATTATTTATAATTCTTAAAATTGACACTAATGTAAAATTATTTTACATATTTCAGGTAATTACGTTACTTCTCTAACAAGTCAAATGTCTCAATGTGATTCTCCTCTTTGGAAAAATGCAAAATTGCATTGTTATGTAATTGAGGCAGCAATAGTTTGCCATTCACATAATTTTAAAATAAATTAGGAGTGACTGTGAAAAAATAGGATATCAGAATAATTTGAACTCATGTAATTCATTTTTATTAATTTTAATACTGTCTATGCTATTAAAGTGATATTTCATTTCCATTTAATAACTTTTGTTTTCATTCATTTTATACTCAATTTAGAAAATATAATATTATATTAATGTGCTCCTTCCAAACTATTCTTATTACTCTTTTCATTAAAATCACAAAGCATTATTCAAAAGATAATCAAAAGATATTCTACTTTAAATTAATGTTATACAAGATTATAGAATATGTATGTACAATTATTTACATTTGATCACAATACAGAACACATTTTTTATAACTATTTCTCTACTATCTAATGCTATGATTATGATTTTTTTAAAACTAATCCTCAATTAATCAGAATTCATTACTGTTCAGTACTATGAATTTCCTTCTTTTTCTTTTTTGTACTGAGCAAGGTCTTTCATGAACTGATGTTTAGGTTTCATTGTATTGGATTTGTCTGACCGGCACATTGGGCAAAACCATTTACCTTTAGGTTTTGTAGTTAAAAAAACACATGAAAAATGAAACCACTCAATGGGACATAAATCATTGTCACATAAAATCATTTCTCCATAAGAAATTTGTTCACATAGGCAATATACAGGCTCGTCTGGATCAACATTAGGATCATCTGGTTGCACAGTGTCTTCCTCATGCTGTTGAGACTGTCCTTGCCTAGCTTTCCTTTTCTTCTTCTTTCCAACATTAGCAGCAACGGCACTTCTCTTGGGATTGCCATTTGAAGTGCTGGGAAGATTTTTTGAAGATTGACTTTCAGCCATAGCAAATGTCTCCAAAAGAGCAGCATGTTCAATCAAGTGTTCTGTTCTTGTGCGTCTGACTCGTTTAGCAGGCTTTTCTGGATTATTGACATTATTACTAGTAGAGTTGCTAGTTGAATTGAAATTACTTTCTTTGTTAACATCATTATTTTCTTTGCTTTTTTCAAAATCTGTAAAATATGATTGTTTCATTAAATTCAACAAGATTCTTGATATATACTTATACTGAAAAATCTATTGATCTTACCTAAATTTTTGTAACCAGAGTCCAATATTTTGTTTTTGCTTTCAAGCAAGTCATTGATCTTCCCTACGGTATGCAATTTCAAATCTCCAACTTCTTGCATAGATATCAGGCAATTTTGCAATATCGCTGTAAGTCTAGCTCTTGCTGCAGAATCGGGTTCAGTTTTGCTCAATGCCTCGCGATAATTTTCCATTTCACGTACATTACCTGCAGTGGCAATATGTAGTTAGAAAAATAATACGTACACAATGGAAATCAACACAGAGTTACATATTATTATGTCAAGACAGTATTGAAGAATAGTCAGAAGGACTGCAGATGATTAACTATAGTATTTGGCGAATAAAGAAAAAAATCTTACTTTGACTGCGGACGTCCAATTCTCGAAGCTCGGTTATTAACAACTGCACGTCATGGGGTAAATTTTCTACCATGTCGAGATAGTCAGAGGTGTAGCTAGCCGCTTTGTCGTTTTCCACGGCACTCTGGTTCAACATCTTGATAAACTTTTTCTCAAAAAGTCCACTTATTATATTAAACGACCGAAGCCTGGACCGTTAGAACCCGGTATAAGATGGAGATTCCGTTTACGCTAAAGAGTCTCCACGAGGCTCAAATAGAAAAAAACAAAGCCAGAATTAGATGAGAGGTGACCAACACAGTATGCGTGGATGCAGCAGCACAACGGCGTGGTGGCCATAGAGTGGGAGAAGTTTAATGGCTGCCTGCCGCGCGCTGCCGAAGCTAGAGCCGCCTATCGAACGATACCATTTCAAATCTGGTAAAATGTATACCAGTTCGTTTTCATTCTTATTGTAAAAAAGTTTTTGATTAGTGAGTACATTGAATTTCGATGCTTTTTTCGACAAAGCTCTCGTTTCTAATAAAGAGCATGTATTTTTAAAGGTCGAACGTTCGAATTGAAGATCGCTCGAATCGACCGTTGGTGTAACGATACAGTGCATTCAGTTCGAGCGGGTTTCTAGCTTACTGACGAGAGATAGCAACAGTCATTTCATGTTCTATCTCCGTTGCACTCACGCGAGGCCGAGCGAGTCGATTAGTTTATCGAGACTTAACAATTCAAGCAGTGTTTTTAATCAATTCTTTATTTTAAATTTCCAGTTTTCTTTTCGTACAGTCAGTTAATTTCGGTTATTCGAGAGTGATATCAGTGGTGCGCGATTTCAAACAATATGGTTCGAACTCAGTGAACTTTTTTTTCGGTTTTCAAGTAGAATACTTTGCCATCATTTGCATCAGGCGATCGTTGAGAAGTGTTTTTACATCCTTGGCGAAGATGAAGTCCAAATGAGTAAATTTGTGATCCGGAACGGCCTCTACTGTTTCAAGGTTCGGAATATCTTTTGCCAAGTAGTAGACGTTCTAAAACGGTTATTTACAAAGAATCAATTGAGAATAACGTAAAACGAACGTGAGTATTGAATTTTACACACATTAACGATTTTTTCGAATTTGAATTTTTTTAACGGTATTACCTCGGGAGTGTTGTAAACGTCTCCAAAACTGAAAACCAATGCTATGGGTGTTTTAATATTTTTTAACGCATATTTCGGAGGAATTTTTGCTCCGTAACGAACCACATTTTCCGCTTCCCCGTAATCGTACATTCGAAAATCACCTAAAACCCAAGCATTTATAACTGAATTTCGAATTTTTTCCTTTTCTCGCGTACAATGTTAATTTGAATTACCGTTATTAATCATATTTTGCCCATAATGCGACATTGATTTTTTCGCCATGCCAGCCGGCATGAACGATGTAAACCTTATCAGTGTGTCCTGCAAAAGTTAATTATGTAAATTATGAAATATTTTAAACAAAATGGCGACCACTGCGCTCCGTGAAACGTTATACCAAATCGGGCAATTGTTCGATGTCCGGACCATCGATGACATTGGTTATCGCCAGCAAGCACAGATTTCGAAATCTCACGTTTCGGCTTTTACACATGGATTCGGTCAAGCTCTGCATGCCCGCCTGATTCGGAAAAATCTCGTAGATTTGCAACTTGTCGAACATAGTCTGCAATTTAGAAAATTGATAATTTCACATCGCGTAACGGTCAAAAGGCTGCGAGCTTGTAAACGCCGTCGGCGATGTGCGTGCGACGCATATGTAACGTGTATAGGTATTATCATTTTCGCATGCAGCATCGACAAACCTGAATACGAGTGACGAGGGGCTTGAGGGCATTGACAATGGGATGCAGCGGCTGATACCAGTAGGCCACGGGTGCCAGGCTAATGGCTAGCGCCACTTTGTCGTTGTACTCGGGCCTGGTCGAGAGCAGGACGTAGCTGCTCGTCGTGCCCATCGAGTGGCCGATGTAAATGACGGCTTCTTTGCCAGTCGCGTTGAGTATGTAGTCGATATTGGCCGGATGATCGTAGACGCCCATTTCGTGCCAACTGCCCGTCCCGGTATGTATGAATCATTATTATCATGCGGCCGAGGCTCGAGCCAATAAAAGAGTCCATTGTGTACATTGTACTACCTGAAATTCCAGTACTCGGCGTCGTAATCGGGATCGAGGCTGACGTGAGCCCTGGCCAAGCCCGTGCCCCGATTGTTGCTCATCCAGACGTCGTAACCCTCGTCGGCCAACAGATAGGCTGCAATTAATTTTCACAATTTTTTTTTTTTATTTAATATAGCATCGCTGAGTCACAGTTCGGATAATTTTCGGCGCTAATTTATCTCACCGAGATCGATGCCAGGCCCTCGGACGATCCATTGTGTGCTGATGCAGAAGGCGCCCGGGATCAGCAGTACCGGTGTCCTTTTCTCCTTGCTCGGGTTAACCTTGTGTCCGGGAATTCTGTAGGCGAGTAATCTGTAGCCGTCCTCCGTTGTAATCTTGTGCTTCTCCACCGGGTAATTGAATTTTTTAACGATCGGCTCCTTTTTCATGAATTCATTTAATTTTTTAGTATACTCCGAGCCAATATATTTCCCCTTTCACCCTACTACTTGCGCAAATTGACTTTTTTATTTCAACTAATTAACTTACATTATCTATATCTGGATTAATGTGATCAAACGGATCGTAATCTGGATCGAAACGGTAGGACTTGGGCTTTTGTTTCAACCTCACCAAGCCCCTGATCGTTGACGTCCCGTCTAATGAAGAATGATCCGCGGCGACTTGCCCGAGAGCGACGAATAACGCACTGAACAGACAAACTTTGACACGCAGTTTCATTTTCGAATGATTTTAATTTGACATAATTATGAAAAATCAGAGTAACGATGTTTTCATACAAGATAGCGATCTGAGACTCGTCCCAACTACGTAAGATATCGCGAGTCGCAAAAAGGCGCGTATTAATTTTTCTTCGAACTTAATTCGGATATTACTCAAGAGTTGTAGCGTGTCTACAGCGTGTACTGTTACACATTATCGCAAAAAACGATAGTCATTCGTAGCTCACAAATAGATTTTCTGGTTTGAAAACAAGTTTCAATTCTTTTTCTTCAAATGATAGTGTAGGTATCAATATAGGAAAATCAAAAAATTTTTTTTTGACAAAATTTAATAATATAAAAAAAACCCTGCGATCACGCTTGCATCGCAATTATGAGCTTTGGTCTGCAAAATATCCAATGCCTATCATCAGAAAAATCCGCTCGATAGCTTCTTCGATTCAAATGTAGCCGTTAGGTCGGACATCTCGACGCACGTAGACAGATCGCAATGCTTGCAGTGTGAATTCGACATTCGTGTACGTAACCGACAAACTCGTACTATATTCGAACATTGAACATTCGTTCAAACAAGTGGACGGGTACACGTTCTTATATGTTGCGGTGTGCGCTTATACAACATTTGAGTCGCGAGATGCTCATCTTATGTATAGCATAAGTATGTTTGTGCAGTGCTTCCTGGAACATTATCGGTCGAGAAGTATATATGCCTGTATACTTGCCCGCCCCCAGTCCAACGTTCGAATTTAGAAGTCGTTCCAAAAAGTGCCAAAGCCGTCTGTCAGCAGTTTCTCGGTGCGTGCGCAGTTTTATATAAAAAAATTCGTTGGGGGTTAAGGCAAGAAGTCGTCTAGGAATACGGCAAGATTTTATAGTGACTAGCGACAAGAATTTCATATCATAGAATTCAATTTTGCGAGTACTTATTTGTTTCCACATTTTCTTGCAATTGTGTCTAACAAGTAGCGCAGCGACTAATATACAGCGTGAAAAAAATCTTGACTCATACGATAGTTTCGAGAGATTCCGTGCTCGTGAAAATCGTCGATCAATTTTCATTAAGGTGTTTCCCATGAAAAATCCCGTCAAGACGCGATAAGACGACACCGATTTATCACACCGAGCGTATACGCAACGATATACTATATTACACACACAGTACCGTCCAATTCGATCTATTACGTTACGCGACAATATATTTTATACGATATGTACACAGAATCAACCCTCCATCGAATCATATCTTCTCTGTCGTGCAGCTATGGCAGCGACGTCGAAGAGTCTAGGCTGGCGTGGCATCCCTCAAGAATATATGTCACTGGCTGAGAAGCGAACGACACAAGCGAGTCGGGGCGCAAAAAAATATGCGAGTCACTCAGAAATATGTATCAAGCCATTTGAGCGCGTGTCAGTGCATATAAGCAAAACCAACCAATCAATACGTGCAGGCGTACGCGTATACTCCTCTCTTCCGAGTCTATATAATATACACTATACATATGATATCGTTAGATAAAAAAAAAGTGCCAAGAGCGGAGCACGCGCAAACGTGCCGCGTCTAAATTCGGCTGTTTTCCTATGCGCAGGCAGTGCGCTCAAATGTGCTCGAAGTAATGTTAACTCAGCCGGCCGGGAAATGCGCGAGAGGGAATAATATGTATCAATGTGCATATTTCGCTCGAGTCATTGCGTGATAGAGTAATTGGGCAAAAAAGAGAGGCTATCGAGCCGAGAGTAGCGGATAAGCGAGTTTGCTGCTTGGTACTTGCAATTTCTCCCTGATGTACACCTTAGTTTAATTTTTTCGAGCTCTCTTTATGATTTACCTACTTTGATGTAAGCGTCAAAAATAATGTCAAAAAAAGAAAGAAGTAGAGAAAATTCCGAGTGAGCATATAGTTCTCTTATCAACGCTACAAAACGCAACGACAGCTAGCACGTGAAATGCATGATATATAAAATTCAAAGCAACGAGACAAGGAAGTTGAGCGAAAAAAGAAGAAGGTGAGTGAGGGTGTCTATCGCTGTATATATACGTATTTAAGCAGTCCTCGGGAATACTTCCAACTCGTTTCTTTGGCCTCTCTACGCTGTTGTACATGTCTTTTCAGCTCTACTATACTCGCGATAGTGGCGCATTCACACGCAGTCGAACGTTTTCCCGGTAGCGAATGGGCTCGAGGTGCGAATTTCCAACACGTATTCGAGAGAGAGAGAGAGAGAGAGAGAGAGCTCGATCGGAGATAGAGTAGCTCTCTCTGCTACTTATACTGGCACGAGGACGGTCAGGCACAGGCGGGAGTACTTTTGCATTATGCAAATCTTAATTCGTACCTTTGGCCAAGTATATATGCATTATACGGTATGTACATAGATACGATAGCTTCTCTGTGTCTCGTACGCGAGAGCAGCAGGAAGAGACAAAAAGAAGAGAGCGCGAATTTCGTTAAATTAGCTCGGGATAGTGTACGCGCTAGAATTAGGCAACTGCATCCCACGCGTATATTTATAAATGCAAGAACGAGCGAAGAGAGCTGTCCTATATCGGGAGGACTGCTGCAGAGAGAAGTGCAAATAAGATGCAACTGCAGTAGAATTTCAGTAGCTTTAAAATATATTGCTTTTGCAAGTTTCGTGTTTTTGCCTTGGCGCTCTCTCGCGATTGAGATTCGAGCGATTCGAGGGATGGCGTGTATGGCGTAGGGATGGCGCTTGCCGCGAAAACTTTAGCTGCTGTAGTTCGATGTATAGGAATATCGACGAGAGTTTGTCGTATTATGTATATAGGTATACGTAGGTAGTTGGTGCAGCTTAATTTATGCGTCGTCGATGGTAATTGGCGTAGTACACGAGCCCGCAGCGAGGTAAAAGGAGAAGGTGTGCGTTGAAACCGAAAACGAGGATATACGTATACAGCATAGTATAAAGAGCCTCGATTTTGCACTAGCATCATGGGAGTGTGTGCAGCCAACTGCGAGCGACAGTCAGCCAAGCTAGGCTTATTGTTGATTAATCGGATCTCCGAGGCGCTGCTTGCACCTCATCTTCGTCGTCGTCATCGTCGTCGTAAGCGAATGTATAATATGCATAAACACGCGGCGAGGAGGAGCTGCATCTAGTTTCTTCGCGCTTGTGCCTATGTAAAATATTATAAAGTCTAAAAATCAGCTATTTTACATCTGATGAATTCTCATTTGCATTTGTTATCGTCTGTCGCAACTATAATACGCCTATAGCTTTTTGTAAAATCGCGTCGTTGCCATTGTCCTCGTGACACGCCGCGACTGCTTCTGCTTGCTCGGAAAGGAAACCGCAGGGCAAAATGTTATGATTTCCATCTTCCTTATGGCTTCTTCCAGCCGTTGACGCGTCGCGCAAACATTTACTTCGTGCATCACTTGAACCTTCCTTTTCATCTCTTTTTGCTCGTTTTACGCATCGAGCTTTGAGCCCGCGTTTGAAGATGGTCTCGCATTTATATATCGTTATCATGACGATGGATAATTGAGAATTTGAATTAGTAAGACAGTGTTGGTAACTAACGCAATTAATTATTGTTTAGGTATATAATTTGCATTGCTTAAATAATTAAATCATTTTAATAAAGTAAGTAATCTATCTTAGAATATTTGATATAATTATAGATACAATATTAAAGCTAGGTGTAATAAATCAGTAACCAAATAATTTGACAATTTTACTTTAAATACTTGAAAAAGCGCGATTACTCGACTATCGACTATCCGACAACTTTTGAGTACTCAAATTTTTTTAATTCAGCTCTCGCTCGACGAATTGGGTTAGAATCCAGCAAATCTCCAAAAATCGGGTACTTTCAAACCCCTAGCAGTTACCAAGTCTACTTTACCGACAATTATTCAACTTTGTAGTAATTTTCCACTATGTTTTATCGATAGGTTTGGGCCAAAACCCGCGCGCCCGTTACAACTATTTGTGTCTTTGGTCTAAAGCTTGTGTACGAGAAGCTCTAAGCGCTAAATCGAGCCAAAGTCACGATAAACTAATTAAATAGCTTTGCGGCTTGGCCTATGAGATAAATGCCACGATTATACCTCTGCCCTGTGTATATAATACAGTCGCGTATATAGACGACTCGCTAGATCTGCATGCCCTTGGCTCTTCCCCTGTACTGCTGCTTATATTTGTCGAGTGAACTTAACGCTCACTGGTGAGTGCCCAATTGCAAAAGTAATATTCGTAAGTGTCTATATCACAATGCCGTGTTAATATAAAACGCTATAAATATACGATACAGATTTTGAAAAGAAGTCAAGTTCTGACAGAAATTATATCGGGAAATTGTAAATGAAATTTATTGTAATCAAATTAATAAATTGTAATCAATTAATTGTTTATTTGTAGTAAACTTTCACATCTGAAAATATTTCGTCATAAAATTGCACGAACGGCTTCACGTACGCTAGGCCTGAAAATAATTCGTGTAAAATTACGTGTACACAAAAATCGTCCCTACACTCAAAAATCATACCAAAAAAAGGCTTGCGAATTATTTATGGTTTTTCGCGATGTATTGTAGGATCTGCATCGCTCGTTTTGATGCATTTTGTCACCATTAATTTCTGCATGCGCGTGTAGCTAACGGAAAAAACATCAACAACATGGCGTGCACGCGACGTCGCGGCGTAAAAGGCGTGTTTTCACGCCGAAGAGCTTGTTAATTCACATTGCGAAGCGTGACGAGAAATTGTAAAAGTCAAGAGGCTTTTTTTTGGCAAACATATACATTACGTAGCACCCGTGTGCTCGCGTATTTGACGAAGCAACAGAGAAAAAGGGAGAGAAAAAAAAAGAAAAGAAGACAACTCGTTGAACTGCGTAAACATAAATATGGCCGAGCCACGAATAATGTGGCATTTGTGTATATATACGAGGCAGCATTTTTTTTCGTGCCATTTTGTAAAAACCATCAAAGCCTCATAGCGCCAACAGTGTGGCAATCACGCTGCACATTCGCAAATAATATACATGAGTATTCGAAAGAAATTGAAAAGTTCGTAAACGATCGATGAGTTTCAAAT